CAACTAGATGCCCCAATGGGAAGCCTATGAGCCAGGTCTGAGCACAAGAGCACTCTCCCCTCCTGTGCCTCCAGCAACTGGTATTCAGAGGCATACAGCCTCCAACAGAGGGGGCAGAACATGAGGTGAACCCTGCTGGATGAGGACAAATGAGGTCCATCTTGTCCATCATCCTGTTCTTGCAGATGCCCCAATGGGAGACCCAAAAGCAGAAGCTGAACAATTCTCCCTACTTGTGATTCTCAGCAACTGGGAGAACTCAAGAAGAGCTTGCCTGCTGGATCAAGCCAAAAACAGTACATCTAATCCAACATTCTGTTCCCACAGTGGCCAACTAGATGCCCCAATGGGAAACGTGCAAGCAGGATTTGAGCACAAGAGCTCTTTCCCCTCCTGAGGTTTCTGGCAACTGGCTTTCAGAAGCATTCTTGCCTCCATCTGTGGAGGTGGAGCATGACTAGTAGTTGTTGATAGCCTTCTCCTCCATGAATTTCTCCAACCCACTTTTAAAACCACCCTTTGCTTCCCTGTTAGTGCCAAGAACACACCTGCTTCCTCCGTCTCGCCTCTTCTCTCTACCAGTCCTTCAGCATCAAACTGCTAAAGAGTTTGCTGCAAAACCATTGCCAGAACTGTCCCATAAGCGCTTGGAAGTGAGTGGAATTGGCCACAGCAAACTAAGGCAGACACCCCATTTTTGAACATCTGGGCTTGATGGAGAACAGCTTGCTCTGCTAACTATCTCTCTTATGAGCCCCCCCCCTCCATTGCAGTCTCTTTACAAACTAAGCACCACAGCTGGGGTTGTGCCATTTGCTTAAAGCTCTTTTGGCAATCCTGTTTTCTGTTGTTTGCTGTGAAAGCCTGAGATGACAAAGAAAAGAAAAGAAAAATACATATTAACCAAGCTTTTCTACCTAGACATGATTTCTGCCATGCAACAGCAGCTGAGGTATGGAGGGCTTGAGGACAGGTGGGAAGCAATTTCTGAAGTTATCAGTGACCCACAGATAATAAGCCCTCTCTGATTGCTTCTGCAAGACCTTAATGGGATTGGAAGAAATGAGAGGCTTGGGGAAATCTTGAAAGGTGCACAGCTTCTGTCTGATGCAAAAATGAGCCCATGGCCTTCTGTCCTCCCTGGGCAATAGACACTGCTGGAGCAAGGGGAATGTGGCAATCACCACTACTGTTATAAGGTTGGGGGTTAGTTTAGATGATCTCCGTGGGTACCTTTAAAACTTGTGACCCCGTGACTGTGAGGTTAAGATCTACAAGAGGAAACCTGGTGAACTGGTCAGACCAGTCCAAAGAGACTGCCACAGAAACATATGGATGGGCTTTCCCCCACCTCACCTGGCTGGATGCCACATAATCCTAGGATGGGGAACAACAGGCTAAGAAGGTTTTTTTGTGTAAGACAGAGTTTTGGCTGATGCTGGTAGCTGGAGACAGAGAGGCATGCCTTTTTTGTGCTACACCCCAAGGTGTGACTCAGGGGTTTCCCTGGAAACCCAATGGGGAAGCAAGATCCGTCAGAGTGTTAAGGCTGTGAGACCCTTCATCCTAAAGTCAGGTTGTATATATGTAGAAGTAAAACCATATATTCTAAAGACACCACAGTCTCCATTGACCTTCATTCCAAGAAAACTGAACCCTGTGTAAGCACCCTGAAATCTCTCACCACTAAAGAGACTGAGGTGTGCACAACATTTTTTTCTACCACAGATGGAAGGCGGAAGTCATACGCTCCTCAGCAAGCCAGGTGAGAAAAATCATAGGCTAGACATGTGGTTTGTACCCATTATTCAGCTGGGAGCAGGCTAGAACTTAGCTTTTCCAGTGCCACCCAAAATATGGGAGCTGTCTCATACACATACACACGTTCTCCACCTTAGGAATATTTTCCAAGCTGATATATCAAGCGCAGGGGTGAACAATGTCTGCTATAAACTTCCTATTCTACCTCCAAGATAAACTCAACTCAACTCAATCAAACTCAACTCAATCCAATGCAACCCAAACTCAAATTGACTCTGGATTCCTCCCAGTTTTGGGAACTGACAATAGACAGGTTAACAGAAATGAAGGTGCTGAATGACAGGGAGAGGGGGCAATGAGAAAGAATAATAGGGTGAGTTGTTTTCCCCCCTGATCCTGATAGTGTATTGATAGTTCAATCCTCACCAAATGTGGGAGCTGTAGAGCCCCTATTTTCCTGGTAAGGAGAAGGTAAGTAGACTGACAACCATCCTTGGGGCTGCTTCACACATAATGCATTTCCTACAGGACCATGGGAGTTGTGATTGTGAAGCTGAGTTAGATCATTGCTCCATATAACAAAGAATGGGCTATTCTGACTGGCAGCCAGTCTCTCCAAAGAACTTGGGGTATAGGCCATTCTCGTCTCTGCTGTCCATGATTCACTTTTAATGGGAGATGTTGGTAGTCAAACCTGGGACCTTCTGTATGCAAAGCAGGTCCTCTCCTACTGAGTAACAGCCCATGTGCCTGTTTGGACATGTGGACAGTGGTCCCCCCCCCCCAATATTTATAGAAGCATGATGTGTGAAGCACTTGCAGGTATTAGTGCCAGTGGGAATCCCAGATTCTGAAATTGGGTGGCAGTGCAGTGATTGATTATCAAGAGCCAGTTTGATCAGTTGAATGGTCTTTGGGGAGGCTTTGGGGAACAGAGGAAGCTGCCTTGTATGAAGTCATTGGCCCACCTAGCTCAGTATTGTCTACACTGGCTGGCAGCAGCTTTCCAGGGGTTTCAGGCAAGAGTTCTCTCCAAGCCCTACCTGAAGATGTCATTAAGGATTGAACCCGGGACCTTTTGCAAGACACTCAGATGCTCTACTATTGAGCTAGAGACCTACGTTTGTCAAGATCCTGGTCCTCATAGTTCTGAAAAAACCTCACGGTTTTTTTTTAACCTCATAGTTAAATAGGAGAATAGGAAGCTGCCCTATATTGTGTCAGACCATTGGCCCACCTAGGTTGGTATTATCTACCCTGATTGAATGTGGTTCTCCAGGGGTTTCAGGTAGCAAGTCTCCCAGATCTACCTGGAAATGGCAGGGGCTGAAGCTGGAACCTTCTGCATCTCAAGAAGATGCTCTATGACTAGGCTGAGCTTTCCCCATTTAAATTTTCCCCCCCTAGATATATGGGCCACAGAGAATTTGATAGTCACCATGTGAAATATGAGCCTCATTTGCCTATGTGTGTGCATGCAGGGAAGCACTGGGTGCTCAGGATTTGCTGGATTTTGGGGCATGCATTAATTCTGCCTTTATTACATCACAGCTTGCTCCCTCATCTGAAGGCAATGTGATTCTTCAGAGGTGCCTGCCCTTTTTGCTTTCTGCAGAACTAAGACACAAGGGCAAATTCCTCCATAGGAACACAGGACGCTACCTTATACAAAGTCCGACGGTTGATCCATCTAGCTTAGAGCAGTCAAACTAACTAGCAGAGGTTATCCGGGGTTTCAAATAGGGAGTCAACCCAACCCTGTCTGGGGATGCCAGATATTGAACCTCGGGCCTTCTCAGTGCTTCCCCCACCCCACCCAGAAGAAAAATAGGTGCTGGAACTCACCACAAAGTTGTTACAGTAAGTCGTCGGGCAACTTAGGGCAACCCTGAACAATTGCCGGTTTGACAACAAACCCACGGAGGTGCTAAAAGCTACTGCAAGCTGTCTCTCTAACCAGTTTGGAGGTCACCCCTGGTTCTTGTGCAGGTCAGATAAATGCACACCTGCTTCCCTTGTTCTCAGGCAGGGGGCTAGGGCATCTCAGAAAGGCCCTTGCAGAAACACACACATGTGCAACAGTAGAGGCCTGGCAGGAAAGCTTAAAGCCTGCCGCTGCTACACGGGAGACTGATTGAAGAAAATGGAATATGAATTGGCCCCACCCCATAGCTTGACCAATCACGGCTAGGAGATAGGTGGAGTCATAGTTCTAAAAAAATTGTAGACTCACACATGCTGACCAGCTTCCATTTTGACTTGACGTGTTTGCTTTGGGCTTCTCAGAAGTGCATAAAAGGCAAGAAGCAGGTGGGAGGATTGCCAGCCCACAATGGCACCCACCTGAGAAGTGCCAGAACTGTGCTTCGACACACTCCGACTGAAAAAAAAAAGCACTGGACCTTCTGCATGCATAGCAGGTATTCTGGCACTGAGCTGCGGATGCTCTTGATGAACACAGGAAGCTGCCTTATTATGCTGAGACAGACCATTAGTCATCTAGTTCAGTATTGTTTGACGCGCTTTGTCACATGATATTGTTTACAGTTTTCCAGGGTTTCAGACAGTGGGTCTCTCCCTGCCCTACCTGGAGAGAGATGCTGGGGACTGAACCTAGGATCTTCTATATCTTCTGCTTTACCACTGAGCTCTGCCCCATTGAAAATACAGCCCCCTCCTTGCTTGTGGCTCTTTCTCACAACCTCCAGTGTGTTTTCCTGCTCAGATTCTTTTGGATCAGGGCCTGTGGGTGCCTTGTTACCTCTGTCTCTCCCAACTTCAAAAGGACTTGCAAACAAATGTGGCTGATTCCTGTGGCTTTGAATTAGTTAGGCTGAGAGAAGATAGAGGAGTCCAGCTATGCCCGAAGGCTGGCCATTCTTAGTTTGCATGTCCTGGTGCAAATCATTACTCTTGACGTGCTGACTCCATCCTTCACCCTGGTACTTAGTTTGTCCTTTTGTCCATAAGAACAGTGGGGCACCCTCCAGTCTTCATGCAGCAACACAAAGAAAGTGTTGTGACTAGAGATGTGAGAAGACATCCCTTTTGGTTCTGCCCTGTAGCTGTCACATGTAACACCGTTTCCATTCTGCTCCTTTTTGTCTTCCACCAAAACTACTCATCTCATCTGCTGTGATGAAATAATGTAACTTACACAATAAATTACGCAGGTGACATATGCTGTCATTACATTATCCCACCGCATTTATTTAATGCACAGGAAATGCAGTGCAGAATGGGGTGTGTGTGTGTAGCATAATCGGTTACAGATCATCGGCAGACTGGAAGCAACAACAAAGGCAAATACTGAAAATAATCGCTGGAATAATTTCTATTCCAGACAAGAAGGCGAAAAAGCAAACTGTTTCAGCAGTTCCTGCTCCTGTTTCCTTCAAAGTTCTCTTGATGCCCCTGGTTGTGACAGCGAGGCAAGCTCACACCAAATGAACAGAGGTTGGATATGTCAAGGATTCTTGAGTTGTGATTCCTGCTTCGCAGTGGACTAGAGTAGATTACTCATTGAGTCCATCCAACTCTACGATTCTATGATCCAGGAGTCATTTTCAGTGCAATCCATGATGTGTGATTTCCTGACAGCACAGCAATATTTTCCTTTGGCTTTGCTTTGAAGCACTGTCAGTCATTCTCAGCACTGACACAAAGCCTTCCTTCCTTGCCATGGGTCTATTTCATCTCCTTCAGCCTGGCCTTGTATGTGAGCTCACCTTGCCTAAAGATCAGGCTGTTGTTATAAATAGCATGATTACATCTCTACTATGGGGTGGGATGCTGGATATGCTTGGACCACTAAGAGATTCACACATTCTAGGGGCCAGGTTCTTTGGCTATCGAAGCACCTCTCTTTTTTCATAATAAGAATAAGAATAATAAGTAGTCGTCGTTGTCGTCGGGGTGGGGGGTGAGTAAGATGGCTTCCATTGTGCAGCTGGGAAATCCTTCTTGCTTGTGTTTATATGGGAGACTTGTGGACTTAAGACAACCCTTGCTTTGGAAGAGGTAGAGCTGGTGCCTTTGCTTCCAGGAACCGGCTGTGCACATCAAGGGGAACTCTTGAAGTATTAAAACATTGTTTGGTGGGAAGGGGGCTCTTTCGGGTCCTGCTGCCCCAGACTCAGACAAAAAACAACACTGAGCTACGGGGGACTGGGGGTGTGGGTGTGGGTGGGGTGGGGATAGAGAACAAGTAGGGTGATGTGGGAAGGAGACTTAGCTAATTCTCATCTCTGGCAGGCCGGATCTTCATCTCGGTGAACTTGAGGGAGTACTGCCAGCCTGTCCACGAGGACCACTCGATGCCATCGGCGTAGGAGCTGTGGTGGCCCTTCAGGTACTGCCCGTTCAGGTTGGAGGTGTGGCAATTGCGGTACCACCAGGCCCCGTGGTAGAAGGAGGCACAGTTGTTCTCTGAGTGGTCGTTGTCCAAGTCTTTGGTGGTGAACTTCATGCCATTGTGCTTCAGGAACGAGTCGCCTGCAGGGGGAAGGAGTCATTTGTCAGGGTGTGGTGAGGTCTTTGGAAAGGGCCACTTGGTGGACAGGGACATCTGCCCCCCCCCCAACTCCACAGACAGCCTATTGAAATTTGCTCCAAAAGCTCTCAGCAGTCCATAAGAACATAAGAAGAGTTTGCTGGAGGAAGCCAATGGCCCATCTAGTCCATCATCCTGTCCTCACAGTGGCCAACCTGTAGGAAACTCACAGGCAGGATTCTGGCACAAGCACACTCTTCCTTCCTGAGGTTTCCAGCAACTGGTATTCAGAAGCATTACTGCCTCCAACCATGGAGACAAAAGCATAGCCATTTTGGCTAGCAGGTGGCACCAGATCTGCGCTAGGGGTATTAATGTCAACATTCTGCGACAAAGTAATGGAAGGCTGAAAAACTAAAGGTGCAGTTTTTGGTGAGGCTAAACGAATGAACAGAACTGTAGCTCTACATTTTAGAAAGGGGTTTGCAATTCAGTTGAAATAAAATTTTGTTTTGTTTTACGTCAATAAAACTATAAATATTTGCTTTCTGAGTTAGTCCCTGACAGCTGAGAGCTAAATTCTTCCTTGCAAATTGGACGTTCCGACCTAAATGTTCTTTCTGTCAGGGTGAAATGTCAATTTCTGACCTGAAGTTTCAATTCTGAGCAGCTGTTTTGAAGTGGAAATTTGCCGTTCTGACAGGCCCGATTGCTCCAATGCTATTAGCACCGGTGCTGTTCTGGATATAATGCACGGTATTTTGAGCACAGAGCAAATGGCCTTCCTTCCTACCTTCCTTTTTTCCTGGTGATCCACAAAGAGGTATATACCCCAAACTTCCACAGCTATTCACAAACACACATCCCCAGTGCACAAATATCCACTGCACATGCGTATCTGTTTCCCCTCTCACACATATCCCCTCTGCCCTAGGCACCAGGCAAACTTACCTGCTGTCCCAGAATAGTCAGCAATAGTAACTGGATAGCCATCTTCCTCAGGGTCAACAGAGAACAAACCCACCGAAAATGTTCCATAATGTGCATAAGCTGTGCCATTATCAAAGTCCTCTAGGTCAATGCGCAGCTCGTAGCTGGCTTGCGTGGTCAAGGCATGGATCCTCTTCAACCCTGTTAAATGAGTTTCAAATCAGTTTATATGTGGGACATGGATGTGTCCTTAAATACATACATGACTGCTTGTCAGACACTGCATTTTATAAACGAGGAAATACAAACTTTGGAACTCCCTGCCTATTGACATCAGACAGGTGCCTTTGCTGCACTCATTTCAGCACCAGCTATAAACATTTTTTGTTGTTGTTTAAGCAAGCCTATCCAGACATGTAGAATGCTGACATGTTTTAATCTCAGTTTAAACTTCTTGATTTTAATTGTATTTTGAAGACTTTTAAATAACTGTTTTGTACTTTTTTACTGGCAATTTCATTGTTTTATTTCTTTGTATACCATTTTGAGAGTTTGATATCTTTGGTTTTTGGGTTTTTTTGCAATCAAGCAGTACAGTGGTACCTCCGGTTGCGGACAGGATCCATTCCGGAGCTCTGGTCAGATCCTGAGGTTTCCACAACCGGAGGGACTGCTTCTGCGTATGCGCGTGTGGTGAAAGCCGGAAAAGTACTTCCGGGTTTGCTGTGTTCACATCCTGAAGGATACACAGCCGGAGGTTATCCATTCATAAAATGTATATGCATTTTATGAAATACATAATTTGCTATGTTCTTCTTAGAAGGTGCAGCCTTTTCAGAAAGCAGCTTTCTTAAGGCTACCAAAAATATTAAAAATCAGACCTGCCTTAATGTGTGATTGGACGCGGGTGGCGCTGTGGTCTAAACCACTGAGCGTAGGGCTTGCCAATCAGAAGGCTGGTGGTTCGAATCCCCGTGACGGGGTGAGCTCCTGTTGCTCGGTCCCAGCTCCTGCCAACCTAGCAGGTCAAAAGCACGTCAAAGTGCAAGTAGATAAATAGGTACAGCTATGGCGGGAAGGTAAACGGTGTTTCTGTGTGCTGCTCTGGTTTCGTCAGAAGCGGCTTAGTCATGCTGGCCACATGACCCGCAAAAACTGTCTGTGGACAAACGCCGGCTCCCTCGGCCTATAGAGCGAGATGAATGCCTCAAACCCAGAGTTGTCCGCGACTGGACTTAACTGTCAGGGGTCCTTTACCTTTTCCTTTTAAAATGTGTGGTGTGCAGATATTGGAGATTCAAGATTCCGCTCTGGGTAACTTAAGGGTAGTTACCCTTAAGTTACAAGTACGGAGATTCTGACACAACATCAGAAAGAACTTTCTGGTGGTAAGAGCTGTCCGACTGTGGAACCGACTTCCTCAAAAAGTGGTGGACTCTCCTTCATTGGAGGTTTTTAAGCAGAGATTGGATGTCCACCTGTCATGGATGCTTTAGCTAAGATTCCTGCATTGCAGGGGGTTGGACTAGGTGACACTTGGGGTCCCGTCCAACTCTACAATACCATGATTCTAAGGATGTACGAACATAAGAAAAGCCCTGCTGGATCTGGCCAATGGCCCATCTAGTCCAGCATCCTGTTCTCACAGTAAACAGCCAGGTGCCCCATTGGGAAACCCACAAGCAGGATTCGAGCATAAGAGCAGCACATTCCCCTCCTGTGGTCCCAAACAAGTGGTATTCAGAAACTGGTATTACTGTCTCTGACTGTGGAGGCAGAACATAGCCATTATGATGAGTAGCTATTGATAGCCTTCTCCTCCATGAATTTGTCCACTACTCTTTCAAATCCATACAAGCTGGTGGTCATCACTGCATCCAGTGGGAGGAAGTGAAGAAGTCCTTTCTTTGATCTGTCCTGAATCTCCCAACACTCAGCTTCACTGCATGTCCACAAGTTCCAGTGTTATGAGAGAGGGAGAAGAACTACCCAATTCCTCCATGTCATGCACCAACTGGAAGTGGGGGTGGAAGAGGCCATGGGATATTAAGAGCCCAGCCAACACAACAAGAAACGCTACTGTTGGCTGTTGTGTCATGTGCTTTATCCACAATTTAGTCCCACTTCCCAGTCCAAACCTTCTCAGCCTCTGTTTCATGCAGCTTTTAGTGTGGGCCTTCAGAGGCTGAGAGATGGGATTTTGCTGCCTATCAATTAGGACTTGCAAAAGCACCTCTCCAGAGGTGGGTGCTGAGTGGGGAGAAGGAGTCCTGCTGATCATTTCTCAATTAAGAGGTGATTTGGGGAAAGTTGTCATTCGCCGTGAGTGATGACTCCTTCTCTCCCTTTTTCAAACCTCTCCTCCATCGCACCTGGTGTTCTCTTTAATTACCAGTAGTTTAAGTTATACTTGCAGGCTGCAGGCTCCTTAGGTAGAAATCATCTCCACAACATGACACAACAGCCAACAGCAGCTTTCCTTGCAAACCCCAACAGTTTTGATTCAGAGGTTTCTGCTCGCTGGTGTGCAGCTTATCTAGGAATGGGTCAAGGCCGGCATAACAGGGAAATTCCAAAGTGAACAGGTGCTTGGAGCATTTGGGACTTTTTGGTTTTGAGAAAAAAGCAGTAGGAGGCAACATAATAGAAGTTTGCAAAATTATGCATGAGCTGGAGAGAGTGGACATTTCTTCCTTTCTCATAACACTGGAACTCAGCTGAATGATGGAAGGTTTGGGACAGATAAAATAAAGTCCTTCTCTATGCATAGTTAAACTATGGAACTCACTCCCACAGGAGGCAATGAGGACCACCATCTTGGGTGAGCCAGTCACTGCCTCTCTGCCTAACCTACCTCACAGGGTTATTGTGGGGATTAAATGAGGACTAGGACCTGGGAGACCTGGGTTCAAATCCCCCACTTGGCCATGAAGCTCAAGGGGTGGTGCCAGTCAATGCCTCTCAGCCTATAACCTACCTTACAGGGTTGTTGTGAGGATAGGATGAAAAGGAGGAGGAGAATCATGTGACCACATTGAGCAATTTGCTGCAAATGGTGGGCTAAAAATAAATAAAGCCACCTCTCTGCCTCTTCCCCAAAGCTGTGATAATAAAGGCCAAGATGCACATACCGAGCCAGTGTTCTCCAGTCAGTTTCCCAAATCCATCCCTGTAAGCTTCCCACCCGCGGAAGAAATTCACGGAGCCATCCTCACGCCGCTGGAAGACCTGTAGTGGGAGAAATCAGTGCAGGATTAATAAGAACGAGTGAGAGAAAGTGTGTGTGTGTGTTCACGGGGGAGGCGGGGGCGAGCCTCCGTCAGCTTTGTCTCTGCCTCCCCCATTCACAGTCCAGTTTGAATAGCGATGGTGCCGCTTTATCAGATGAAAGAGCTGAGATGCAAACTAAAAACCCCGTTAAATTGGCTAATTATGTTGGAGTGGTTCAGCGAAAGGGACTCTGAAGAGGCTTCCTGTCAGGATTAATAGGGAGGTTGACACTGAAACCAGAAATGTTATGTTACAGATATGGCGGCTATTAATTTTCTCATTCTAGGCTATCACCCAGGGAACTTTCTTCCAGCCCAAGGGCCATATTCTCTCCTGGGCAACCTCCTGGGGGCCGCAAGCCAGGCTGGGAGGGAGGCAAGGGGCATGAGCAGAGTTCAAGGGCACATTCCAGCCAGGCAAAAGCACTCAAGAAGGATACAAAGCATAGGTAGTATGGAGCCTATGGAAAGAAGGAATGGCTGAGGAGGAGGTAAAGCCTGACCGGAGTCCCAAGGGTTGTATCAAGAGCTCTCCAGGGATGCACTTGGTCCCTGGGACTGAGGTTTCCCAACACTGTTGTAGGGTTGTTGTTTTTAAAGTAATGTGCAAAGCAGACATAAGAATATAAGATGATCCCTCCTGGATTAGTCCAGTGGCCCTTCTAGTCCAGTCTCCTCTTCTCACAATGGCCACTCAGATGCCTGTAGGAAACAAGCAAGCAGGAATTGAGCACAAGCGCCCTCTCCCCTCCTGGGGTCTCCTGCATCTAGTCTTCAGAAGCATGCCTGCAACCCGTGGAGATTAAGCATAGCCGTTGCAGGTAGTAGCACAGCCCTCTCCTCGATGCATTTTTCTAATCCTCTTTTAAAGCCATCCAAGTTGGTGGCCACCACTGCATCCTATGGGAGTGAGTTCCATTTTTTAACTATCCGCTGCATGAAGAACTACTGAATTGTATTCTGATTTTGGATTGCCAGCAGATCTCCCCTTAGCCATGTGTTATCTTATGATTCAGTGTTTTATAACTCGCTAAACTTGCTGTTGGGTACATGACCTCCCTTCTGGTGCCCACGGTCTGCTATTTGTGAATGGTGTGCCAAGTGATAGGGAAGCCCTGCTGTGTTGCATTTGAACCACAGCGTCTTATAGGCAAACCCTATATAATGGTGAACGTGAACATTTCAAGCTGGTTTTCATTTCTGGGCAACAAGAGTTTTGATTAAAGATTAAGCAATAACGAACTGTGCATTTACCGGTTCGCCATACCCCCTTCTGCTGTAGTTCTCAAATTAGCCAAGTGAAATGTCCTCCTTTTGGTACTTTTCTTGCTTAATTAAACTTTGATCTGTTGGCGGGAGAATCAAGAAAATACCTCCTGTGTCTGCTACTCACCATTAATTAAGCGTCCATCCCCTGATTTAATGAAGCAGGGGCACATTTTGACTGGAAGGGCACCAGAAGGAAAGTTTACTTTCAGAACAGCTGAGTTCTCAGATCACTGGATGTTAGACCGTGACCTAAAAGGCCTTTCAAAGTTGCCCATACAAGTACAATGGCACATCCATTTACTTTAAAGCGGCATTCTGGTGATGGTAACCCTATTTCCACTGGTGATGGCAATATGCCACCATTACCCTCAGGCTAATAATGGTTGAAGGGTTGGAACTGGGGTATTATTTCTAACAGTGGCAGGGAACCCTTTTCTGCTGGAGGGCCGCATATTATGGGCAACCTTCCAGGTGCCAGATGTAAAAGCAGGCAGACGTGAACTTTACCTCCATAAACTAAGCTAGTTTCATAGGCACATTGAAAGCTGCTTATACCGAGAGTCAGGTCAATGGTCCATCTATCTCAGAACTGTCTACACTGACTGGCAGCAGCTCTTCTTCTTCATATGTGTTACTTCAAGACTGGATTACTGCCATGTGTTCTATGTGGGGCTTCCCTTGCATTGATCCAAAAGATGGAGTTAGTGCAGAATGCTGCAGTCTGGTTGCTGACAGGACTGAGACATTGTCAGCATATCACACCTGAGCTCAGAGATCTGCACTGGCTGCTGTTTTGCTACCAGGCCAAGTTCAGTGTGTTATTATTATATAAAGCCCTTAACAACTTGGGACCAATTTACCTGCAGATGGTCTTACCTCATTTATGCCCACTTGACCATTTCATTCGGCAGAACTGGCGCTCTTACAGGTGCCACATAATACCCACCCTGCATTTTTAAGTAGCGTGGCAGCAACTCCCTGCCTATTCGTATCAGGCAGCTGGCTTCATTGTATTCTTTTTAGCACTGGCTAAAAACATTTTTGTTTAGACAAAGATGTCCAGATGCTTAGAAAGTTGATGTGGGTTTTAATCCGTTTTCAGTCTATTGTTATTCTCACCCTTCGAAAGTATTATGGTTGTTACTTTTCCTTTCTTGTTTTATCCTTTCCTTAACCTGCTTTGAGATTTCCTCCCCTCCCACCCATTTTATTTTGTTTACAATCAAGCAGTTATAAATTTTATGGAACAAATAAATAAATACGTGGAAAGGCAGTATTTTGGGTATAGGGATCCCAAACAGTACAAGGCTTTTTAGCTTGAAACCAGCAGTGGGGGAATCCAACTGGCATCAAGGGAAGTTGGGAGGTTCACTCATTCTTATTCCACCCATTACTGCATTCTGTGCTGGACTCAGTTTCCAAACCAAGAAGCAAACAGCTTCTGACCAGCTTACTCTCTGTACATTTGTCCAAGCCTCTATTTAAAAACAAAACAAAACAAAAAAACCCACCTAAGCCAGGGATCGCCACCATTTCTGTAGTTAGTTTTGCAAGTGTGTGAAATATTTACAGTCAATTGCATTGGGTGATAGGGAGTTGTAGCGTTCTGTGGAAGTGTGTGTGGAGGGGGAGGGGAAGAATTATCTCTGACTGATGTCCTCCCTCTCCTGTTTTCTTCCCATGAGCTGCACAAACATCCCCCACCACCAAACCCTTTTGCTATGGATGATTCTTCCTGAACAGATTCGGGCAATTTCATGCTGCATAAACTGCCCATGATTACATTATTGCAGTATCTGGAGGTTGAGCACCACCGCGGCCAGCATATGCTTCAAAATCCTGATGTGTTTCTGTTGCATCACAATGGAACATTGTTAAGGGGCAGCCAGGAACTGGGCTCCCCACAGTCTTAGTCTGGGGTTGTGTGCTAACCTGGACAGACAGGAAAACATGGATGGATTTATTTATTTTTTAAAGGTGGGGAAAACAACAACAGGATTTTTCTTTTCTTTTGCAAGGGCTGTACTTCAGTGGGGGAGCACATGCTTTGTACAAAAAGGTCTCTGGGTCCATCCTCTGCATCCTCAGATGGGGCTAGGAATGTCCCTTTCCTGAAATCCTGGAAAGCTGTTGCCAGTCAGTGTGGACTATACTAAACTTGATGGATGAATGGCCTGACTCAGTATCAGACAGCTTCATGTGTTCCTACTTAATTCAATCAATACTTAAGAACATAAGAAGATCCTCGCAGGATCAGGCCAGTGGTCCATCTAGTCCAGCATCCTGTCCTCACAGTGGCCAACCAGATGCCTATGGGAAACTGACAATCAGAATCCAATCACAAAAGCAGCACCCTCCCCTCCTTAAGTTTCCAGCAACTTGTATTCAGAAAGCTTTGCTGTCTCCAACTATGGAGGCAGAACATATCCATAATAGCTAACAGCTATCAGCAGCCCTCCCCTCCGTGATCTTGTCTAACCCTCTTTTAAAAGCATCTAAGTTGATGGCCATCAGTGCCTCTTGTAGCAGCAAGCTCCATAGTTGAACTATGTGCTGCGTGATTTTTCAGAACAATGAGGACTAGAATCTTGTTTATTGTGGTAGGGGAAGGAGATAGCTCAGTGGTAGAGTGCACCATTTGCATGTAGAGAGCCCCAGAAGAGGCAGATTTAGGGGGGCATGACGGGTTCAGTCACACAGTGTGCAGAGAGCATCAGGAGCACTGCAGGAAGTAAATTGACACTCGTTCCAGCAACTTTTGCTTGTTGGCCTGCGCAGTCCTTTTCTGTGGCCCCCAGAAGGCTGCTTAGAAGGAAACATGGCCCTTGAGGCTGGAAGAATTGCCGAGCCCTCCATTAGATGCTCCGCCACAGCTCCGACCAACTTTGCAAGCCCTAGTTTGGAGGCTGTGACATGATGCTCACTCGTCAGGCTCGCCTCTGATCCAAGCAGTACTTACCTTCTAGAATTAGAACCCTTAATTTTTATCCCTGCATTGAGCGCTTGAGAAGCTGCCTTCGCTAAGCCCCTTTGAAAGGGGCTTTGGGCCTGAACAGTTTGACGGCTGAAGGACACTTTTGCTGGAATGGGGCCCAAAGCTGATTGCTAATGGAGAGCTTTTCTTGGCTCCCACATCAGTGGGGCATGGGGAAGGAGGGAAGGTTATGGGAGCAGGAGATAATGCAAGCTCCTTCATTAAGCTGCTTTGACCTCAGGCTGCAAAGTAGGCCAGTTGTCCACGGCACTGATGGAGGAGGGTTTGGAGGGGCTTGAGTTGCATTAGCAGAGAGCTCTCCCTCGCTCTCATTCTCCTCTCCGCAACCATCCATGTAAAGGCCTGATTACACAAATGCCTTGAGAGATTAGTGGCCCAAACAGCTTTGGTGATAAATGCCTCTTTGCTGATTATCCCCCTTTGTGGAGGTGCAGAGACAGCCATGCATGGACCCCAAAGTGGCGTACAATGCCACAGCCACAGTTCCTTTGCCCCTCAATATGATTTGTTATTTTTCCTCCCCCAGAGCTGATTTCTCTGTGGCCATGTGGGCTAGAAACCTGAATCTGAAATCAGGGGAATTTGCCACCCCTTTTAAACTTGCCATCAGTACGTCATATAAGAAGGTCTAACGGGATCCAAATATGTCTGGTCACAGCCACGGAGTCCCAAGCAGATTAACACAGCCATCAGGAGGAAAAGGGGCTGTGACGTTTTGCTAATAGCTAAGGTGTTGCGGTTGGGTCTGTATCCCTGAGGACTTAGTTTTATTGCTGGATCACAAAGGGAAAGCATTCATAGCTTCAAAGACAAGGGTCAAGAACTCAATACTCAAGTGTTCTATTCCAGGGTCAGAAAAGAAATTGATGTTGTTTGGTAAGGCTGCCAAGCTATGATTGAAAAACCAATGGCTCCTTAGGCAGTTCAGAGACAGGCTGTGCTGGGTAAATTTGGGGAATGGTGGCTGAATACTACTAGGGTATCAGATTCCAATATCATTTTCTTCATAAAAGATAGCTTTACACACAGGTTCACGTCTGCCCACCCCCGGCATAGCCACAAAGAGGAGATCGGAATTTTCTGTTTTAAACTGAACACACTTTAGCATGCCATTCCAAACTAATCATAACAGTGGTTAGTCTTAACCATGGTTTATCAAAAAACAAACAAACAAAAAAACACACAACAACCTTGTAAACCACAGTTTGAAGTCATCTTGTTCGTACAAACCATCATTAAGATTAACCACAGATTATCCATGTTCAGGCATCACAGCAACCAGTCAGTGGTACAAACTGGACACAAAGCTTTTGAAATTCTTGCAAGCTGTGCCAGGCAGTGGGAGGATGCAAGCACCCAAGATCAATGCAACTTGTTTTTGTTTAGCATTGCACCTGGTTTAAGCCACAAGGCGGTTGGCAATAGTACTGTACTTATTGGAGACAGACTACAGGAATCCTGACTGCAGGGCTTACTTATCTCCTGATTCAACCCCAAAATTTACATGTGTGGGTTTCCTGCCTGCCCCCGGAAGTGATCAGTTGTGACCTTCCTGGAGATTCTTGCAGTGCATTTGAGCATTCAAGCAACTGGCCTCAATCCCCCCCCCCCCACTACCCACAAATCATCCAGAGGGTGACAGCAACAGTTTTAATAACCAGGGACTACTCAAGAGTGTATTGCTCTGATACTGCATTAACTTCACTGGAATCAAGGACTGTCACTTATGCGTCAAAGAGGTGCACATATATTCATAAACTGTGCATCTGCTCTTTTATATGCATAGGTCCAGATTTAGACATACCGTAATTGCTATAATTGAAATAGACTGCATTTCACCCTAATGGAGAAGGCTGTGACCAGGTGGCCTCTGCCTGCCAGGTGCTCACCATTGATGGACAACCGCAAAGGCCCTTCCTGCTCTCCCCTCTTTGGGTCTGTTAACTTTACAGCCCTTCGAAACAGAGCAGTGTCCTTCAGCCTTCAGTCCCCAGACGTTGCTGGACCAATTCAGCTCCCAGCATCCTCCCAGCAAGTAGTGAGAGAGAGAAACATTTTTCAGCCTCTCTCACAGCACTAGAATTTATGGACAGCTGATTCAGGAAGGATAAAAGAAAAGACTTTTTCCACACAGCACATTGGTACACTATGGAACTTGCTCCCACAGCAGGCGGCGATGGCCACCAACTTGGATGACTTTAAAAGAGGATTAGACATGGCTATCAAAGATTAATAGCCATGATGACTGTAGCTCCGCCTCTGTGGTTGGTAATGCTTCTGAATAAAAGTTGCTGGAAACCTAAGCAAGGGAGATTGCTCTTGTGCTCAGGTCCTGCTTGCAGGTTTACAATTGGGGCACCTGTTTGGGATGGCATACGGGCCTTTGTTCTGATGCTGCAAGCAAGTTCTTCTGTTTTTAGTTTTGGGGGAAGCTGATCTGAGTACTGTACATCCTCATCCCAGAAGCTAGTTATTTGTTTATTTCATAACATTTATACACTGCTTGCTTTTTTGTTTTTATAAAAAAGCCTCAGACTGCTCTACAAAAGGTAAAACAGAAAAATCAATAAAAACATCACACCCATACAAAAGTTAAAATACTAAAACAGATGGAAATCACCTCAACATTCTAAGCATCTGGCTAGACTTGTCTAAACAGGGATGTTTTTAGCTGCTGAGTACAGTGTAGGCACCTGCTTGATCTCAACAGGCAGGGAGTTCCAAAGTGCAGGTGCTGCCACACTAATTCACTGAGTTGTAACGGATGTGGAATGGGTATTATGTGGCACCCTCAGCAGTGTTAATTCTGCCAAAGCAGTTGAGTGCACACATGTTGGGGGCATTCCAGATTCAGATGAGAAAAGATTGTTTTCTCATTGTTAGATTCTATGCAACAGGTATGCAGCAACTTTTTCGTGGATCATTTGATAGACAAAGCCTGTTCTTGCTTTTTCTTACTAGATCAATTGGGTTGTATCCAGTGCTATTATCCTAGAAAAAGAGGTGCTGGAACTCACAATGAACACCTCACTTGGAAGGGCGTATTTTAAAAGTTTAACAACCTATATTTCCATCCTTTACTACATATTTTGAGACTTTAAAACTCTGCTGGGGTTCTCTCAACAAAGAGTATGGGCCTCAAACTTGGATCTTGGCATCCAGGAATTCTCCTTTTCTCTCTCTTTTGCACCAGTAAATATTAGCCAGTCAGTCCATATGCCAATGTTTGTCAAGTTCAATGTACTGATGGGCTTAACATACGAGGTAAATAGAACTAACTCTCTTCCCTGCTTTGCTGCCTGGGGGCAATTCTCACTCGCTGCAGGCAAGTAGCTATTTCAGAGCCTCAAAGAATCGTGAACGTTCTGTACATATTTTTTTGTTGTTACACATCTCCCCTTCTCTTTTCACTTGGCTTTCAAGCTGCAGGTGAATTGTGTAAGTTTTTTGACCAGTAACTAGAGCTTTTAGAGTGTCATTGAAACAAGAGTTGGGGTAAAGATATGAGTCAAAACCAAAACAGGAAATATAAATGGCCATGTCTGGGGGGATAGTTAAACACCAGTGTCACTTCTGAAAAGGAAAGAAAGAAAGAAAGAAAGAAAGGCAGGAAGGCAGGAAGGCAGGAAGGAAGGAAGGAAGGAAGGAAGGAAGGAAGGAAAAGGTGGCATGACAGTGCAGTCAAAACTGAATTGACTCAGAGGGTCAAAGGAGCAAAACCTAAGTTTGTTTTAACATGTGTAGTGATGTGTAAGAGGTTCTGTCAGAAGCCTACCTTGATTTCTTGTACACGAAGAAAATTCTCCCTCCTTCACTCATGAGGTTCTGGCTATCCTCAAGAGTCCATGTTGGGATTGAGAGAGCTGGATTGGAATTGGTCATCTGAGGGGCATAATGTAGCATCATAGAATTGCAGAGTTGGAAGGATGACCCAAAGGTCATCTAGTCCAGCCCACTGCAATGCAGGAATCACAGCTAAATAATCCCTGACAGACGACTACCCAACCTATGTTTAAAGACTTCAGATGAAGAAGAGCCCACCACTTTCCAGAGTAGTCCTTTCCATTGTGTCAAACAGCTCTTACATGAAAAGGTTCTTCCTAATATTTCTTCAGAATCTTGTCATTTGAATCCATTGGTTTGGGTCATACCTTCTGGAGCAGCAGAAAACAAGCTTGCTCCATCAGACATCTTTTTAAACAACTTGGATAAAGGAATTGAGGGGATGTTCATCCAATTTGCAGATGACACCAAACTGGGAGAGGTAACTAATGTCACAGAAGACAGAATAGGAATTCCAAATGACCTTAACAGATTGGAGAACTGGGCACAAGCTAAAAAAATGAATTTCAAAAGGGACAAATGTAAGGGTCTGCACTTAGGCAGGAAGAAGCAGCTGCACAAATATAAGATGGGTGACACCTGGCTTACTATCAGTACATGTGAAAAGGATTTAGGGGTCTTGGTAGACCACAAGCTTAACATGAATCAACAGTGTGATGCAGCAGCAAAAAGGTGCCGGTACTCACCATGAAGTTGTTACAGTAAGTGCCACACATTTAACCAGTGCTTTACATCTAGGGAAATGGTGCCAGTATTGCGGAGGATGTTGACAAGCTGGAATATATGCAATGGAGGGCAACCAATATGATCAGGGGGCTGGGAACCAAGCCTTACGAGGAACGGCTGCAGGAGCTGGGTATGTTTAGCATGGAGAAAAGAAGATCTGAAGAGTTGTCACATGGAAAACTGAGCAAGCTTGTTTTCTGCTGCTCCAGAGGGTAGGACCTGAACCAAAGGATTAAAATCTCATGAAAGGAGATTCTGGTTAAACATTACAAAGGAGTTTCTGACGGTAAGTGCTATTGGACATTGGTGGCTCTCCTTCATTGGAGGTTTCCAAACAGAGATTGGATGGTCATCTATCAAGGATTCTTTAGCTATGATCCCTGCATTGCAAGGGTTGGACTAGATTATCCTTTGGATCCCTTCCAACTCTACAATTCTATGATTCTATGGTCAAACACACTGGGACCCTGCCAGAGAAGGGCAAGAAAAATTTTTGATGATGATGAAGAAGAACAATGGGATAAGTGAAGGCTATTATGGAATGCTCCAAAGGTGTGGACAAAGAGTTTCTGCAGGATATGGAAGAGGACAGAAAACCAATGCAGGGATTTGAAATAGGATATTTATGATTATAGGTGGGAACAATTCTGGCAATGAGCTATTTGATATTGCCATGACCGAGGAAGACTAGGAAGCAATAATGCAGCAGAAGGCAAGCAGAGTTCTAAAAGATTGAGAGGAGATGGGTTTTTGCAAAAGTGTGTAATTTATGTAAGAAGTTCACACACAATGTTCACAACAGGACCAAATGAGATGGAACAGACCTTGGCTTGAGTGCCATCGAGACCAAAATGGAGCATAATTTGCAGCTTGTCCTACCATAAGTCTGAAGCCCCGAAATGCATTTATCTGGGCCCTCTTTCACATCTTTGCCCTGCGTGGTCAGTCTGATGCTCAAGGTCTGGATTTAGCCATGACATGTCTAGCATGCTGACAGACTTGTTGAGGCATTTTGCTGCCAGCGTGTTGCCTTGATGTTAAAACTATTTTCTCCTCAAAGCTGAGAGGATCCTGCTGACTGGGCTGGCTTTAAATAGGCACATAAGTATTGGAGTTATCATCTCCCACTGCCCTTTGAGAAGTCGCTGTTTCAGTCCTTGGAGCACTTTTGAAGCTGTGAGAAGGTATGGAGAAAGGTGGCCTTTCTTAACCTTTTCATGAGTGACTCCATCCTTTTCTCCTTCAACTCTTTTTCTCCAACCCAGATAGTGGTGAGGGGGAAACAGGGATGAGGTTGCCATTTAATTTTAATGATTTTATTAAGGTTATGTTATTACAATTCACCGTCAAAACTATTATATATAGAACATTCTTGTTTCCTAAGAAGAAAAAGAATGAAATATAAAGGGAAAAGAAAAAAGGAAGTGTATAAGGAGGGAAAGAGATCAGGGTTTTTTCCCCCCAGCCAGAACTCGCCAGAACTGTTCTAGCAACTCTCAAGTGGGCAATACTGCCATTATAAGAGAACAACAGAGGTGTTCATAGTGAGTTCCGGCACCTCTTTTTCTTGAAAAATAGCACTGGAAGGGATAATAGAACAAACAACAAAAATTCTATAATGCTGTGAATAAATTAAAGGGGAAAAATATATAATCATTTACACTTGCATTCCAGAAATGTAAGAATAAGGCCCAACATGGCTTAATAAATTTGCTTTCTTGATTATTATGTATTGCATTTTTATTATACAGTATATGAGGGGGTGTGGCAGACTCCCCATAGTCTCTACATTCAGTGGAGTGGCAGAATCTGAGCAAAATCATAAATTCCTGAATTTAGCAAGGGCTGGGAATAACACCAGCAAACTTCTTCATGAAGCCAGCCTGGTGATGCCTTGCTGGGGGTGGGTCATTGAAGAAACGATGGTGCTGATAGCCAGCTATCAGCCCTCAATGGAAGTCATCAACAAGACAGTAGGCTCTGCCAGTCACAGAAGGAGGTTGCCAGGGTAACAAGGGAGGTGATGTCACCACAGGAAGAGAGGGTGTCCTTTTACAAGCAGGGGTTTCTGGGAGGAAGGAGCAGGAAGTGGGCAGAACTCTATGCAGGGACTGAAGGGCAGCAAACTAAAGGGCTGGGCTGGAACAGGCAGCTAACAGAGAGACACAGGGATGGGGCTTAAGGTACCTCTAAATCCAGTGCTGCACTGCTTGGAAGGACAAGCCCCTCTTGGGATCTCTCTCTCTCCCTCTCTCTCTCTCTGTCTCTCTCTCTCTCTATCTCTAACTCAGGTGTAAACATGCGTGAATAAACCATATTTCTAAGACACTTCAGTCTCCGTTGTGCCTGGTTTTTCCCAAGTAAATGCGAACCCTGGTTAATTTCCAAGAACCTTGAAATCTCTTGCTGCCACTCAGTAGAGGTTGGGGTGGCCGGTAACAATATGTAAGTTTCATAATTAAGGCAGTTTGCCAGGTTTTCCTTAACTGATCAGATATGGCAAGAGGGTCTTTATATTTCTACTTTGGGGCAATACACTGTTTTGCTGTTGTTAGCGGTGTAGTAGTCAGCTGGAAATAAGTACTAATTACTTTAGAGTGAAGCATCAACAGGAGAGTTATTTTAAGGTTTCTTGGGAGACATTGTCGTTTAATTTGAAAAAGCATGTGGCAGGGGGGAAATGCCTGCCTTCGCTAATTACAAGTGCATCAGAAAACCAGTTCCTCTTGAGCATCATATATTTTGTCAGAAGGGGAAAGTCTATAAACATCTGAAGTTTCTTTATACCGAGTGAGACCAATGAACTCAGTCCTGTATGGACGGACTGGCAGCAACTCACCAGGAATGCAGGCAGGACTATTTCCCCTGCCCTACCTGGAGATGCCACTGGGGATTAAACTTGGGACCTTTTGCATGTAAAGCAGATGCTTTACTACTAAGCTACCACCTGTCCCCTAAAAATAAAGTAAGATTCTAGTCCTCATGGTTCTGAATAAAGGGCTGAATTAAATAAGAACACAGGTCCATCTAGTGTGCTGTTGTCTGCACTCCTGGCCACCTCTCCAGGGTTTCGGGCAGCCCTAGCTGGAAATGTTAATAATAAATAATAATAACAACAACAACAACAACAACAACAACAATAATACATTTATTTATACCCTGTCCACCTGGCTGGATTTCCCCAGCCACTCTGGGCGGCTCCCAACAGGATATTTAAAATACAATACAATGTTGGGGATTGAACCCAGGACCTGCTCTACTCCTGAATTACAGATGTTCCTGTTGAACATAGGAAGCTACCTTATACTGAGTCAGACCATGGGTCCATCTGCCTTAGTATTCTCTACACTTACCGGCAGCAGCTCTCCAGGATTTCAGGCTGGGAGTCGTATCCCAGTCCTACCTGGGGATGCCAGGGATCGAACTTGGGAACTTCTGCATGCAAAGGAGATGCTCTACTACAGAGCTGCAGCTACCTCCCTGCTCTGTAGCATTGTGGTCACACGGATTGAATCTCAGGTGCTCCTTTTTGCATGTGGCACAATGTGGATTTATGTGGCTTGTGCCATTCTTTGAATCCATACAAAGCTTGCATCCAATTTGTGCTCAGTTTATTTGTCAGAGGAGGAAACCAGCAAGCCCCCAAGAAGCTGCATGAATCTCCTTCCTCAGCATGTCATGGGCTTCGCTGGCAACCTGAGCTGTAGATGAAGAAATTATATGATCTCATCCAAAGGGATTTATAGAGCAGCATGAGCAATTTAACCTATGTCCTGGCTCCCAGTAGGCTCTCAGAAACTGTGGAGTGGGGAGCATGTTGACACAGTGTGAGAGACACAACCTGTTTATATCCTGATCTGGTTCAGACAAATTGATTTGACTGTCCTGGAGTAAGTATGGGTTAAAAAAGAGAAAAAATAGCCACACATTTATCAGAGCAGTTCCACAAGCAGGGCGACTGGAGTAATTGTATTCAGTTCAAATTTAAAGATCCTCCTACCTAATTTGCAATATATGAGCCAGTGTGATGTAGTGGTTAAAGTGTCAGATTAGGACCTAGGAGACCCAGGTTTGAATCCCCACTTGGCCATGAAGCTCATCTGAGTGACCCTGGGCCAGTCTCTCAGCCTAACCTACCTCATAGGGTTGTTGTGGGGATTAAGTAAGGAGGGGGGAGAACCATGTATGCCACCTTGAGATCCTTGGAAAAGAATGTGGGATAGAAATACAACAAATAAACACTACCCAGGACAGGATGGGGTTGTGCAGGGTTGTTAAGGCAGCAGAGAGCATTGTTGGCTGCCCACTCTCCACCTTAGAGCAGATTTATGCCACAAGGTGCCATAGGAAGGCACTGGACATAGTAAAAGATCCATCGCATCCTGGTCACTGTCTCTTCGAGCTCTTGCCGTCGGGACGGAGATACAGGACGATGAAGACAAGAACGAGCTGTCTTAAGAACAGCTTCTTCTCCAGAGCGATCTCGGCCCTGAATGGGAAGCCCGGACTTTGAAAGTCATCTAATCTCCCTTGCTGTATTATACTGTTTTGATTAATTAGTGTTTTTATGGAGCAGTCAAGTAATTTCGTTGTCCCCGAAGGGGGCAATGACAATAAAGATATTATTATTATTATTATTATTATTATTATTATTATTATTATTCATTGATCAGCATTCACAGTTAAATTTTGCAACACACTTCTCTGGCCAAATATTGTGTACAAAAATGCATATAATAGGGTAAAGTGTGCATAAATGTGTGGAGAGTAGTCGTGGATATAGCACACCCAAGTGCATTTTTTTGTAATGTGTGTGGATTCAAATGAAGGTACAAATACGTAAATGTAAAAATATACATATAAATAAATGAATGTTAAATAAATAAATAAATAGCTATTTTTAATAGCTAGCTAGCTGTGTGTGTACATAAAAATGTATGTTTTGGGGAAAATCTAAACTTGGCAGCAGGGAGGTTGGGAAAATGATAAAGCGAGAGAAACAAAAACTGACATCCTTATGCGTAAGTTTCCTTCCTTTTTAGTTTTTCTTGAAGAGCTCCAGAGCCTTCAAAACCCACCTTTCAGTTCCTCCCTCACACACTGATGTCTGCTCATTTGGGCTCATTTCATTTACCTCACAGAATTGCCTTAGTGAAACTCAGGTTTCCTGCCTTAAAAATATATATATATAAAGAAAATAGCTTTAAAGCTTTTAAGAACTACATCGCCAATCACTATCTGCTCATAGGATCCCATTTCGTTTCCCTCACAGAATTGCTCTTGCTACATGTTCCTGAGGATCTGGGTTCAGTTTCTCACCATTTTTTGTTTTTAAAAGAGCATCAAAGTGTTCAACAATTGCAGGCAAAATTTGAACATGCATAATTCCCCCCTCCAGTAGAGAGAGGAATTTCTGGTATTTAGGTAACTGTTAAACACAGAGAGAAGCTCTGACAGGCAAACAATACAGCTGGTCACCAACAGGGACTGTCCCTCTTATGGACACAAAACTGCAGCCCTCTCCCCTCATCCATAAGGACCTAGTTCTTGCTCTCAGCTGAAGCTGGAGTTCCCTAGGCCGCATCATTCATTCCTTCACACAGCTCTCTGATTCCTTAAGCCATGGACTTAAAGAGACACTGGGTAATTTGCTTTTCTGGAAAGGTGCCATTCACAGCCAAGCGACCGCCGTTTCTAACTCATGTCCTCATTTTCTAGGGTAACAAAGGGCCTACAGGTTATATAACTGCAACTATCAGGATTATCAAGTCAGCTTTGTATACTTGGATTTTTTTTTATGTTGACTTTCTCCAGTTTCACCTTCTTAGAAACGGAGGTGAGGCCTGGCTTGGCCTGGCCTAGTCTGACCGATGAGGGATTCCCTTAGTCCTCTCACAAAGCACCAGCATGCTGACTCTGCACAACTTGCTGCCTTATTTATTGGCACTTATGGATTACTTGTCTTCCTACAGATATAAAAATGTAAGGCTGCCAACGTGCAACCCCCATTGGAGGAGTTGTAGTGCCACATCACAATTCTGGATTTGCGTGAAGTTGGTGAGCAGGGGAGCAAAAGAGGAGGCAAGTTTTTAAATGGTGGTTTTAAACAACAGCATGGGTTTAAATAAAGCTGTTTAATGTGGTATCATAGTGCTTTAAATGTATGGCGTGAGTGTGATCTTAAGTCAGAGTCATTCTCAAGATGATCAATGGCCTGGAAACCAAACATTATGAGGAACAGTTGAGGGAGTTGGGTATGTTTAGAAGAGACGAAGCGGAGACAGGACAGTCATTTTCAAATATCTAAGCTAAAGGGCTTTCACATGGAAGATGGAACAAGCTTGTTTTCTCCTGCTCCAAAGGCCAGAACCCGAACCAATGGTTTCAAGTTACAAGAAAGGAGATTCTGAATAAACATCAGGAAGAACTTTCTGGTAGTAGGAGCTGTTCAAGAGTGGAATGGTCTTCCTTGGGAGGTTGTGGACTCTCCTTCCTTGGAGATTTTTAAGCAGAGGTTGGGTGGCCACCAGTCATGGAAGCTTTAGTGGAGATTCCTGCATTGCAGGGGGTTGGACTAGATGACCCTGAGAGTGCCTTCCAACTCTACAATTCCATGATATTATGAAATGCAAAGTGAACAAAATTTATCCCTATCCCTATCTGGCAGGAGGAAAGACAGCAAAACAAAAATGTTATGTTGCTTATTCAGATAAGCCAAACTATCCCAGGCTTTATTTTCTCACCTCGGGGTAACCTGGCTGTCCGTAATACCATGCCCATGTGATTTTACCACACACCAGGTGCAGAAGGTGTGATAAAATGGTTTGCCTCTCTGGCAGCTCTTAATTTTACAATCCACTCTCATTTTCAACCCAAACGCTTCCATCGCCACTAGCCACAGTGTTGATGGCAGAGATTGTGTCTGCAAGTCAAGAAAAATGGATGGGTCCCAAGTGACACCCTCTGCTTCTCCTCTTAACTAACAAGCTGCGATTGAGTCCCCAAACAATTTGTTCCGACAGGTCTTTTGCTCCTGACCAGTGTCTATAATAGATGTGTACGAGATTGGCTTGAACAGAGCAGGGAGAAGTTATTATTCACATCCCTCATTTCCTCATGAAAAGGGTGCTGGGCAAATCGTACATGATGTTTTGTCAGGGATCTGGATTGGAGGAGCTGCCATGAATCAGGCCTCTGACCTGGCGATCGGAGTGTATGCTTGTAGACATCTGCCAAGCTGTCACCAGCATCACACTGTCTCCTGGCCCTGATTTCAGTAGAAAGACATATGCAGATGGCTCTGTCATGTCACCATGGCTACTGAAGTGTAGGTGGGTTCAGGCATAACCCAAAGACCAGATTTCAGCTCAAAGGGATTTATTGTAGCAACAGGAACAAGACTGACAGGGCCCAGTATATACATCTTAAGACGGCTCAGGCGAAACACAAACCCCACCTGTGATAGGTCGCCTTAATGCAGCAATTAGAGAATCACAACACTGGCCTATCTCAGCAGGGATTGGTTGCCTGCCAGCTATTAACAATGTCATTGGAGGGTTTTAGACTCCTCTCTGTCTTTTGTTATGCAGATAGTTCCTGAGCTCCAGGAGCCCTAGGCCTGTATTGCATGCATACAGCCTAGCTTTGGTCTACAGTGCCTGGATACATAACAGCTTCTTAACTGTCCACCTTCCCTGTAGGCCCCAGTAAACAAAATATGATCCCTCACTCAGTTTTCACTATGCAATCATTTAACATGTAGAGTTGGAAAAGGTTCAGAAAAGGGCGAGCAAAATGATCAAGGAGATGGAGTGCCTCTCTGATGAGGAAAAGTTGCAGTGCTGGGGACTTTTTAGGGGAAAGATGTTAGAGGTGGCATGATAGAGCTTTATAAAATTATGCATGGCATGGAAAAAGTGCAGAGATAAAATTCTCCTTCTGGAAACTAGAAGATTCAGGACAGATAAAACGGAAGAAATTCTACATGCAATGCAGAGTTAAACTATGGAACTCACTCTCACAGGAGGCAGTGATGGCCACAAACTTGGATAGCTCTAGACAAATTCATGGAGGATTATTTTATCAGTCTTTATTAGCCAAAATTACTCTACCTCCACTGTTGGAGGCAGTATGCCTCTGAATGCTGGGTGCTGGGAATCACAAGGGGGGGGGAAATGCTGTTGTGTTCAGGTCCTGCATGCAGGCTACTCGCGGGTCTCTGATATTGCTGACACACACAATGTCCCTTTATGGATATGCCACCACGATGCATGAAAATAAAAAGAGCCAGAGACCCAGCTATCCCAGCATCTTGTTCTCACAATGGCCAACCTCTGGGAAACCTGCAAGAGAACCTGAGTTGCAATAGCAACTCTCCCCTCTTATGCTTCCCAGCTACTGGTATTCAGAAGCAAAGGAGGGAGAAATCAAAATAGCTGTGTTGGATTAGGTATGTGCCATTTAGTCCAGCATCCAGTTCTCACAGGGGCCAACAAGGTGCCTCAATGGAAGAAAGCCTGCAAGCAGGGCCCAAGCACAACAGCACTCTCCCCTCCTGTAGCTTCCAGCAACTGGTATACAGAAACATTGCTGCCTCTAACATTTGAAGTAGAACATGCCCAATATTTCCATTATGGGTAGTAGCAGCAATGCTCCTTCCATGGCTGTGTGTACAGTGGACACTCGGGTTTCGAATGTGATCCGTGCGGGATGCACGTTCGCAAGCCGCAGCTGTGTGTCTGCGCACATGTGGGTTGCGATTTGGCACTTCTGCGCATGCGCAAACCACGATTTAGCGCTTCTGCGCATGTGCAACCGCTGAAACCTGGAAGTAACCTGTTCTGGTACTTCCAGGTTTCAGCAGTCCATAACCTGAAAAAACGCAACCTGAAGCGTCTGTAACCTGAGGTATGACTGTGTTCCTTGTACACCGTTTTGAAATCTGAAGAGTGCCAACCTGATTGTTTGACAAGAGTGATTTTTCTACCACTTCTTAAAGCCAGTTCTCAGTATCAGCCTGTCTGTAGGTATCTCCTACTTCAGCTAACTTTCTGACTTTTCAAGTTCTCGTATGAAGCTGCTCTTGTCACAATTTGTGATTTTTCTGCTCCTGTCTCGTTGCCTCACTGTTTTGGCATTTCTTCAGCCTCGTTCATTAATTTCTCCAGGCTGGCGTTGTTGACACAAACTAGCCCCCAATCTAGCATCTTTGCCATAGACATGAATTGCTGTGATGACCCCAGCGCTCTCTGGGAAGGTCACATCTATGACTCTCCTCCCAGAGGGGAAACTTGTTAAATTTCTGCCAATGACTTCATCTTGCCTTTAGAAAATGGCAGGTCAGGAGATGGAATTGCGTGTTAAGAGCCACTGATAAACCTTCAGTCACTCTGTTGTGTCTTAAGTTCAAACACCCTTAGGGTACATGCCCCGAAACCACTTCATGTGGATCAGTTACTCCTTAATATCACTTAGCCACCCTGTTATTTTCCTGGATACTTCTGCTGATGAACTCTTTAGCCCAGCTGAAAGTTTTGCTTTCTTGCCATTTGCTGAAAGTGGAATGAAAATCCCACTACTTCATTAGCCAGTAATGGTGATCTAGTTCTGAACTTTTAAGAAATCAACCTTTTAGTTTGGCAGCACCCATGGTTTGGAACTCCCTGCCTATTGACATCAGGCATGCACCTTTGCTGTACATTTTTCTGCACCTAAAAACGTATTTGTTCTAACAGTCCTGTCCAGACATGTAGAAACTGTCATGTGTTTAAATCTGGTTTTAGCTTAAACTGTTGGTTTTAACAGTATTTTGATTTTTTTAACATTCATGTTTTCAATTTTTTATGATCATTTTAATGCTTGTTTGCAAACCACATAGAGGTTCTACCTACAATCAAGTGGCACATATGTTTGGAAGGGCTCAGAGGTTGAGCACGTGCTTTGCATGGAGAATTCCCAATGCAATTTTCCAGGGAAGGTTGGGAGTGTCCCCTGCCTGAAACCCTGGAGATGGTTTGGGGAGAGTCAGTGTAGACAATATTGGGGTAGATGGACCAACGTTTTGACTCAATATGAGGCATCACTTCCTATGTTTTTATTTCAATCAGCTCCTTATTCAGAACCATGAGGATTAGGACCTTAATTCTAGGGAAGGGCTGTATCTCAAGGACAGAACCATGTTCAATCTCCAGGTACAGCTGTTGGTAAAATAGAGCCAGATGAATCAGTTGTCTGAATCCAAGTCTAAAGCACCTTCATATGTACACAGGTGCTGTGCAGGAAATAAACAAGAGCACTCTCCAAGGCTGGGCTCTTCTTTCTGGGAAACCACATTTCTCCCCTGAGCTCAAAATGCAAGACAGAGCCATGGGCAAAATGAGGGTATGGTCTTGCTTATAAGAGTGTTGTGGGTATCTAAGTTCCTAATGAACTGTGAGAGTCTTTCTCCATGCACAGCTCTGCCCCCACCTTCTCGGCTGTCTGCTTGTCACACCAAGCCGCAATGAAATCTAGAAACTAATTTTATGCCTAGAGATAAACAAACAGAACATCTAACCATGCTGGCATACAGACCATCAAGTTTAGTACACAAACCCTGCTTTTTATGTGTGTTCCATTAATAATAAAGTCGGCATTATCGCAATATTTTGCATTTACTCTTGTATAGATTTATTTCCCATCTGCTCCTCTCCAGAAATGAGTTTATTTTACATCGGCGTGATAATGCCAGGGAAGGTTTGTTTTATGTATATTATTTCAGAACCCCAAAACATAGAACAAAGTACAGTGATAGCAAATGCCGTTTGTTCTTCGTTAAGTCCTACCTACTAAAAAAGTAAAAATCGAAATCTCATTCCATCTGTGTCTTTCCCAAAATGTTATTGTTGAATCCAACTAAGTTCTAGTTAGAGTAGACCCAGTGAAATTAATTACAGTGGAATCCAACTCCCTTCAGCCCCAGCCAACATAGCCAACAATCCAGGTTGATGGAAGTTGTTGGCAACATTCATTCACAGCACACATTTAAAGCATTATGATACCACTTGAGACAGCTGTGCCTTCTCCAAATAATTCTGGGAGCTATAGTTCATTAAAGGTGCTGAGAGTTGTTAGGAGACTCCCTTTTCCCCTCACAGAGCTACAATTTCTAGGGTAGTTTAACAATCTGTGAGGGAGATAGGGGGTTTCCAAACAACTCAGCACTCTTAATGAACTACAGCTCCCAGAATTCCTTGGGGGAAGCCATGACAGTTTAAAGTGCCATCACTGCACTTTAAATGTATGGCATGAATGTGGCTGTCATCTAGCAACAACTGGAAAGGCACAGCATCCTGGTCCCAGCCACAGGGTGCTGAAAGTCTGGAAGCTGAGCTGCTATCCCATTTCCAGCTTAAACCAAAACTGTGCTGATCAGATGCTGTTAAATTGTCCATATCTGAAAGCACCCTCAGCATTTGCCCTGGCACTGACTGGCCCTGTGCTCTTGCTGCAGTGAAGCCCATGGTTCCTCCATGCCCAGAAGGCCCTGCCCATCAACCCACAAAGGATGCCAGCTTCTCTTGTCTCCTCCGTAAGCTCCCAGAATCTGTTCCCCATCATTGCCTCTCTGCTTCAACCTTGACGGAAGGTCACATGCTTTGACCAGCTAAGCCAACGGGTCTATTACTCAAACCAATGCGTCAAAGAGACTTAAACAGGCAACAGATCCTTACCGTCCACCCGCCGCCATCCGTCGTCATGTCACAGTAAACCTGGAAGCCTTCAGGGTAGTGAGTGGGGAAGACAGAAAAAACACCGTCCTCTTGTTGTCCGCTTGCATAGATGTCAAAGCAGTCCCGAGGCCGAGAGCCTGCAGTGAAGTGTGGGGCAGAAGTGAGTTGGGGGGAAGAGAAACAAGAGAGGTCTAATTAATAGACTAAATTACAACATCGCTGTTTGAGCCCTTGGCTCTGGACTCTCGCCTATTCCAACTGGTTGCTGTCACTAAAAGAGACTTTGTTCTGTTTCCTTCTACGCTCTGGGCAAGTGGAGTTCTGGCAGAACTCTTGTTTCATAGAATCATAAAATTGTAGAGTTGGAAGGGACCCAAACAGTCATCTAGTTCAACCCCCTGCGATACAGTTTCTCTCTCTCTCATTTTTAGGGGGTTGATTCGTGCAGAAACAAAGCAGTATGCTACATCTGGGACTGTGTGTTTTTTTGCTCAGAAGAATCATAGCTGAGTGGTAGAGCATCTGCCTTGTGTGCAATTGTTCCCAGATTCAACCCCTGATGTCTCCAGATAGGTCTGGGAAAGACCCCCTGCCTGAAACAGTAGAGAGCTGCTGCTAGTCAGTGTGTAGAGACAATACTGAGCCACATGGATCAATGAGCTGACTCACTATAAGGCAGCTCCCTATGTTCCTACAAAAAACGCAAAATGCAGTTCTATCTTACCACTGAGCGCTCACTTGTGCATGTGGGGCTGAATACCCACAATTCCCTGTGAAGAGGGACTGATTGCTAAACCAGTCTGGGAATTTTAGCTCTGTGAAAGCAGTTAGGGGTCACCTAACAACTCTCAGCACCTTAAGCTACAGTTCCCAGGATTCTTTGGGGGAAGCTATGGCTGTTTAAGTGGCATGAAACTGCTTTAAATGTGAAGTGCAGATGGGGCCCAGGATACATATTTTACATTCTCTAACTTCTTATTTGTGGTTGGTGGAGTGTGAATAAATTATATTCATAATTGCCCCAAGAAGGAGAAGAGAAGGAAGCAGATCTCCTACCGTTGGAGCATCCTTTTGGCCGGGCACTCCGAGCTGGAGCCTTCTGGAGGTCAGCTTTGAGCCGAGGTCGGACCGCACTGCGGTCCTTCTGCAAGGTGTCCAGGATGTCGCTGACAGAGCTCACTAGTCTCGCCATGTTGGTCTGGCTCTCTGAGAGCAGCTGTGTGGAAAAAGTCCAAATTCGTTATGACTCAGTTCAGGGGGTTTGCCAACACACCATCCGCAGGCACCAACCTGTCCACTACTAGCTTTAGGACAGCCTGCGAAAGGTCTCAACCAGGGCCAGCCCCAAGACATTATATTTTATGTTTTCTTTTATTTCATAAAATTTATACACCACTTGATTGTAAAAAACCCCCAAAAACTTCAAAGAGGTTTATGAAAGATAGAACAGTAAAATCAATTAAACAAACTACAACCCTATTTTAAAACATGAAAAAGTTAAACTACTAAAATAGATTCAAATTACTTCAAGTATCTGGGTAGGCTTGTCTAAACAGGAATGTTTTTAGCAGGTGATGAGAAGAGTACAGTGAAGGTGCCTTCTTGATCTCAATAGGCAGGGAGTTCCAAAGTGCAGGTGCTGCCACACTAAGTGATCAAGTTCTTACAAATGCAGAATAGGTATTATGTGGCACTTGCAGTAGTGCCAATTTTGCTGCATGAGGCAAGCCAGACAATGGTACCATCACCACCCTGTCCATGCATCCTGACTAGGTGATATCCCCTATGAATAATGTCTTTTTTTGCTTGGTGCTTTTAAAAGCACTGCTACAGAGTTCAGTGGGACTTATGAATGCTTTCCTAGCTGCAAGCCTTACTGAGTTCAAAGGGATTTGCAGCCCAAGCCTACTAAGCGAGGCTTTGCTCTGTTCTACAGCTCCCTCCTCTAAACTGTCCCTTCAACTTCCTGCCCCCATACTCAGGTACTTTCCCTCAGCGGCTGTTCCTTCCAGCCTCTACAATTCTATGATGCTCTGATTCTAATACTGATTTCCATTCTGCCCTGTATTTGTTATACGTAGGAGCATTTCGATTCTGCCAGAGTTCATCTTCCACCCAAAACCACATTATTAATCTCAGTTGTCCACTGAGGCAAAATTATATAACTTACATAACTTATGTAAATGAGATTCCTCTTCCATTATGACACCCCATTCATTTCAGTCATTTATGAACTGAAAACAATAACAACAGTGAATACTGATTCTACTCAGTGGATTGATTTTTCTTCTGGACATGGTGGTGAATAAGCCGGCATCTGCAATTCCCAGCCCCATTTCCAGTTTTGCCAGAATCTTCCGACATCCCTAATGGCTCCTTCCTTCCTTCCTTCCTTCCTTCCTTCCTTCCTTCCTTCCTTCCTTCTCTCTTCTCTCTCCCCCCCCCAAACAGTCTGCCTTTATTAAATTTATATAAGAGAGTTTACATTCAAAAATTAAAGCACAAGATGCTTTTCATTTACGTTGAGAAGGGAAATGTGTCAAGGGAACTGCATTGCATCTTTGCTTTTTATGATATGGAAGAAATACAAATTTAATAACTAATGATTTCTCATCGCCCGTTGGTTTGTCTGGGAGCTAAAGTTGCTGAGCTAATAGGAAAGGTTGCAGATTTTTGCTCTGGCCATTTCTAAAATTAGACTAAGGCAGCCACAGTGACTGAAAGCAATCTTGTCATTTCTGTCAAAGTATCAACTGGGTTTTATTTTATTCTAACTCTTCTTCTTCTTCTTCTTCTTCTTCTTCTTCTTCTTCTTCTTCTTCTTCTTTTGTATGTAGCACTTTTGGGTATTAATGGTGGTTCATTACATTCGTCCCAATGCTAAGATTTTTTTTAATGTAGTGTTCATTTTAGAGTTCAAAACCGTAAGTGGTTTAGGCCCCATAGGTATATCCCTACAGACTCTCCTGGGTGTTAAGATCAGCAGAGGAAAGACATTTTCGTAGTTTCATCTTCCTTAGAAGTTTAGGTTAGTGGCAGGCCTGGAAGAGGACATTCCATTTTGGAAGTCCTTAAGTTGTGAAGTTTCCTCTCTACAGAAGTGGCTCTGGCTTCTTCACTATACAGCTTCTGGCAAATGCTGAAGTCGCACCTCTTTACCCTGACCTATTCCTGAGACTAATCTGTTTTTAATCATTTTTAATTCTAAATTGTTGTAACTTGCCCTTGGACCCTGCTGGTAAAGGATGGGTAATACATTTAATGCTAACGCTAATAATAGTGTGCTGGGGTGGGTGGGTGGAATTTTTTTTTATATACATATTGCATTGCTCATTATTGTTTTAGACAAGCCTATCCAGATACGTAGAATGTTTACATGTGTCTTAATACGTTTTTAGCTTAGTTCTGTTTTTAATTATTATTTGAATGTTTACATAGCAGTTTAAACTGCTTTTAGTGTTTTATTCTTTTTGTAAAGTATTCTGAAGGTGGGTTTTTTTAAATAAAACAATGCCGTGGTAAATGAATCATATGGGGAAGAAAACATTATCATTATCATTATTGTTATTCCTATGTTAATATCCCAACTTTCCTTCAAGAAGCTCAAGGTAGCATATACAGTTCCTCCCTTTTCCTATTTTATCCTCACAACACTGTGAGGTAGGTTAAGCTGAAATACAGTAATTGGCCCAAGGTCATCCACTGAGCTTCTTGGCTGACTGGGGATTTGAACCCTGGTCTCCCAGGTCCTAGCCCAATACTACAGCATACTGGTTCTCAGTATCAGGAGTATGCAGCGTAATAGTATGAAATAATTTCCCCCTCCTTTCACAGTGGACCTAGTAATGTATATTGTAACATTTTAAACAAATGCTATCTGGGCCCCCATTGTGGAAGCTTTATCTTATTGAGCTGCAAATTGATTGCATTTCTCTGCCAAAACATCGAGAGTTTTATGTTGCATTCTGCTGTGTTTGTTGATGCTTTTAATGATCATGTATTTTATTCCCTTTGCCCTGTAGACTTGCCCAGGGAACATTGTTGATGGGCAGAAATGTAAATCGTGTCATTAAACAACAAAAACGTGATTGAAAATTGGGCTGCTATAGGTGATCAACTCTACAAAGCTGACTTCAGCTGTAGTGCATGGGGTAGCAGGCTGTGCACTGCGTAATGGCTTATTGCTTGTACATATGCATGTGTGTTTGCACATACACTAGAGGCAAGGAGCATTTGCCCATTACTCTTCCTTAAGGGTGGGGAGCTTTTTCTGACTGGTGATTCAGATCTCTATCACCCCCAACCCTGGAGAGCCCAGCTGCTATCAGGTGATACTGAGCTTTGATGCCCCAACTGCCAGGACTTCAAAGCATGGTGAGGAACTGTTTGAAAGCCCTTTTGCAAACAGCCTCACACTGCTATTCAAACTTCTGAAAATCAGGGGTCTAAAGAGCTGTTTGCAAAATGGCTTTCAAACAGCCCTACACTGTGCTTTGACTATATGAGCCTTCTCCTAGCAGGCAGAATTGAAACTTCTGCTCACCAGGTTCAGTCCTTGTGGATGCAGGGGTCTCCTTTGCCAAGGGAATATATTAGTGAAGCAGACTCCAGCAGGATTGAACCTAATTCTCCCACCCATCAGTGATGTCAGAGGATTGACAGGTGGGCCAAGGATTGGGAGAAATGACTTTGTGGGCCAACTTGAACTCCCAGGCAGGGAGGCTAGAGGCTTCCCACCCTAGCAGTACTTGAAGATATGACTTCTGGAGACCTAGGGGAGGCTGCTGAGCTCCACATAAGGACAACTGTAGCAATTCAAACTAAAAAATGTTAACAAGGCATACCCAAAACACCAAAGCCAGGCCCAGAAAATAAAAGTAATGGACATATCATGGCATGGACTAAGAACTTAGAAACTGAGATATCAGAGGAGTAATAAGACTTGCTTTGTTGTTCTTCCCATGTAGGACACTTTGCCTGGGATCCTGCGTTGTCTGAGGAAACTACTGCTGTCTTCAGACTCTGATGACTGGACCTTGTAGTGACCAGGGATTTCCCTCCAACCAGGTCATCACTATTCTGACCTTCACCCACTAGGAGCCAGAAACTGTGACATAAGACTTATGTCCTTTAAGATACCCGTGTGTGTGTGTGTGTGTGTGTGTGTGTGTGTGTGTAGTTTCCCAAAGGACTATATAACTCTGGTGTTTGCTCCAGGCTGCTGCTGAGGTAATTTGGCTCTTACATTAGCTGCAGGTTTGCTTTCCATGGTGCTGAAATCATTCCACTGTGGTTTTGCATACCGGCAGAACTACCCAAAGTTCTGAACCTACACCAGAACAGCACCAGCACAGCAGAACCTACACCAGAACAGCACCAGCAGATCACCTTACCCCTGTGCCCTCCTGACCAAGTTGTTGCTTTCCTGGGATGACTAATCATTGGTAAACAAGAACAGCACATGGAAAATATTAAATAGCAATAAGCACTTAGATGCACTCAGGGAACCTTTTCATCTTGGGGGGTCAGAAGTTTATCTGCCACTAACCCCCATGGGCCAAGTTTAACAGACGGGCAGGACAGCCTACCTGTCAGTCATCATCAAGGAATGAACCAGCAAAGCAGTACCCACAGGATCGTACACTTTATTCATAAGCTGATGAGCAGAAAGTTAGGTTCTGCTGGCTGTGGGGGTCAGCTGACGGGCAGTTGGATGTGCTTAGGGGGGAAATGGCCTTGCAGACCCCTTGCAGAGCCAAGATTGGCCCACTGGCCACAGATTCCCTACCCATGGACTAAGGTGGTGCCATTTCATTGTTAGTGTGCTGCCAAAGCTTCCTGTGGCTGTAGGGGGGGGTATGTGTATTGCATGGGGGCTCACAATACTCACAACAGCATTAAAAACAACATTGCAATTGCTATACATAGTATCAAACACAGTAGCATATAATTAAAGCAAACAATAACTAATTCATCAAAGTAATTGAAACAATTCAGTGAGGCTTGCTGAACTCTTGAGTTCAAAAAATAAGGATCCCTTGGCAGAAGTGATGGGTGGTTTTTAAAAGCAGATTTTCCAACATCACAATTTTCCATTAAACACCCTACACAGGGGTGGAGGGGGGTGGGGGTGAAAATGCGAACAGCTTTTCTCCTTGCTCGCACCTTTTATCAGACTTCTCCATTAGAGTCAGCAGTTCTTATCTAATATACAGTGATGATTCATTGAGGAATTGCCTTACTTCAGCAAGAAACAGGTGCAAAACCAGGAGGGTTTATAAAGGTTTTTACAAGGATGTGATGATGATGTCTTACCTAACTGAAGATGCAGGCGAAGAGGAGGATTTAGAACTACAGGAAACTGGTTCACACTGAATCAGGCCATTGGTCTATCAAACTCAGTACTGTCTACGCTGACTAGCAGTGGCTCTCCAGGGCTTCTGGCAGAGAGTCTCTCCCTGACCTACCTGGCAATACCATTGGGGATTGAAACTGGGGCCTTCTGCATGCAAAGCAGGTGCTCTACCACTGCGCCTTCACTCCTAAAAATATAGGAAGCTGCCTCCTTAGTCCAAGTTGGGGCATTTAGCTCAATATTGTCCACACTGACTGCAGTGGCTCTCCAGGATTCCAGACAGGTGTCCTTCTGGACCTGCCTGGAGATGTTGGGGACTGAAGGGACCTCTTGCGTGCAAAGCATGTGCTTTTCCTGAACATAAGAAGAGCCCTGCAGGATCAGGCCAATGACCCACCTAGTCCAGCATCCTGTTCTTCCTCAGTGGTCAACCAGATGCCAACTATAGGAAACCTAAACACAAAAGCACCCTTCCTTCCTGCAGTTTCCAGCAATTAGTATTCAGAAGCATTAATGGCTTCCAAATATGGAGGTAGATCACAGACACGTTCAGAGGCATCCTTGTTGCCCTAGCCCAGTCTCAAGGTTTATGGGACTGAACCCCTTCCCCCTACCCAGACAATTAAACCTCACTTGAATGCAGAGTTGAAATGGTCAGCCATTTTGTTTCCAGGTGATGCACTTTCCCTTTCACTACAGGGATGTAATGGCTGTTCTTTCCACCACCCCCTCTAACCTTGCCTTAGGCATCAGCACTGAATTTGCAGAAGCCTCCTTTGATGACTTCAATCAAAATGCAACAGAGTTCACTGAGGTAAGCCAACATCCTCAGGGCTCACCAGCATTTAGCTACCTGTCTGGCAAATGAGCTCTCAAACGCTACGTGCAAAACATGTACAGACTCCCCTCCCCTGCCTTCTGTAACCTTCCCAGTTTTCCTCCTATGAAAAGCTGTGGCTGCAACTTTCCTCCTCCTCCTAATTAATTAATTAATTAATTAGATTTTTATACCACCCTCTATCCATAGATCTCAGGGCAGTTCTGTGGCATCCCAGACCAGTGTTGCGGTTGTAAATTTGGAAGTGCATAAACTCATTGTGAGAGCCCCTATACAGCCACATCACCAAGGAAAGTCTATCAGGGGCAAAGGGCCACATTCCCTTTGGGGGCAACCTTCTGGGGGCCACATGCCTGTGGTGGGTGGGGTCAGAGCCAAAAGTGGGCTGAGCAATTTGGCTGGTAGCCTAGTTTCTACCCGAACAATTATCTTCTATATGTTTTTGGCTTTTTGTATTTAATCGGTGGTGTTTTAACTTGTATAAGCTGCCTTGAGTCTTGGTCTCGGAAAAAGGTGGGATATAAGTAAATATTGTTGCATGCCACCCCAATCTCTGAGCGGTGCGAGATTCCAGGGGTTCCAGGCACTTACCCAGGGTCCGGTGTCCTCGGAATGAGGGACAGCAGAGACGGTGGTGTCACAGAATCACAGAATCGTAGAGTTGGAAGGGACCACGAGGATCATCTAGTCCCACCACCTGTAATTCAGGAATCTTTTTGCCCAAACATGGGACTCGAACCCACAACCCTGAGATTAATGCTCTACCAACTGAGCTATCCCAGGTTGACAATGTGTTATATGGTTTATTTAGATCTATATACTGTACAACCTGAGCCTGTGTTGGAGGGGCTCACATGATTCACCCGCCCCCAATTGGGTCTTGCTTCTCCCATGGCCTCAGCACTGGATTCAAGCAGAGATCAGGCATAGCTCTTTCTCTCATCCGCCCAGCCTGCCTCCAGCTTCTAGCTCACACAACTCTGGTCTTTGTCTTTCTAACTGCCAGACAGTTTCTAACTACCCTGCCCATTTGTCTTCTGGCACAGAGCCACCAAGAAACTTGCCTGGCTACTCCAGCAATTGATCCTTATTGTATCCAGGAATTAGAAGGGACTGTATACAGGTACACAGCCTACCTCCCCAATTCTCAACACTATAATAAATGCAACCACCACCACAACAACACATCCTTATCTATCCTCCACCCAGACAAGCAGGAGTCTTGAGCAAAGTTCAAGGACATATCCCAGGCAGGCAGAAACCCTCAAGAAGGATGCAAAGCAGGACTGGTAAGGGCTGTGGTCCTGGGAAAAGTTCTGAGAGCTAGGCAGTTAGCTAGAGAGCTATAGGGCAGCATCCAGCCCCCAATCCCGAGGGTCCCCATCCTAGTCACAGCTCTGAGAAGAGTTCAGAAATGCAGACCACTGTGTGATCCATTATAGCCGGTGAGATACAGTGGCCAGAGTGTCCTTCTAGGACCTGGGAAACCAGGGTTCAAATTTGCACTCCCCCATGAAGCTTGCCGGGTGACTTTGGGCAAGTCCCCTGCCTCTCAGTTTAAAATATCCCAAAGGGTTGTCATGAGGCTGAGAACTATGTAAGTCAACTTGAGCTCCTTGGAGAAAAAAGTGGGATACAATAAAGAGATTATAAGTAAATGCTTATACATGCATGTATCAAAAAGGAGCAGCACACAGAATGAACAAGTCCTTTGCATCGGGAGTAAGCGCCCTTGAACTCAGCGGCTGGTTCCATGGGGACTGGTGGAGAAGAATGCAGGGAGCCCAACAGTAGGTGGTTCCTGCGCCAATGACAGGTAGAGCCACACCCTGATTGGTTGTATGCATGAAGATGGTCAGGTAGGGGGTGGCCAAGGGCAGACTAAGGTTGGTGGGGCAGCAACCTCTATATGACCTAATCTCCACCACTTGCAACCACGACTGTTTTTATAGAGGCTATGGAATGCTCCTTCCTGCCTTCTTCTGTTCTTTCTGTAATTAAAACACACTTCCTGAAAACCCGTTAAGAGAGTTAGCATCCTGTAAACCAGGGAGCCTGGGTAAGTAATGGTGTATATTCAGGGGGAGATAGTAAATGTTTTGACATCTGTTTCTAAAATAATAATTAAAAAGCCAAAAGTTTGCACTGCACCTAACTGCAGCAGACCTTAACATTTTCCATATAATTTGATTTTGGTTTATTACACGGATGGAAGTGACTTAAATAAAATATTTCAAAACCCTCCAATCTAGAGGACAGTCTGCAGTTCACAAAAATCTCTGGTCAGCTACTATTTTATTTATTTAGACTGAGATGATTTTTTTAAAAGAGACTCCACATTTTTAATTGATTGAGGGCCAAGGGGTCAGCAGCAATGGAACACAGGAAGCTGCCTTATCCCGAGTCAGGCCATTGGTTCATCCAATTCAGTACTGTCAACACTGGCTGACAGTGATTCTCCAGGGTTTCAAGCAGGAGTTCTTCCAAAAACTAACCTTTCCCCTGAAAGTAAAGATGCTGGACCTCTGGCTATGACCCTTCAAATGGCTTTAACTTGCTCCTGGAACACAAGCCAAAAGTTATTGGGGATGGGGGGGGCGCACTGCAGTTCTGCTACCTGCCTGTCCATAACATATGAAAATCATCTCAATCTATATTGGTCCCTAACTTATACTTTGCATGATTTGTGTGTTTACGGGGCAAGTGTTCACAGGAGCTAGCCTCTTGCCCCTCCGCTCCCATCCATCACCTGTATGAGACGGCCTTGCTCATTCTGCAGAGCGTTCAGCTCCTGCCCCATGGTGCTGTGCCCTTTCTTCAGACCGTCACAGTCTGCCCTCAGCTGGGTGGCATGGCTGAGAACTTTGGACACCTCATCCGACAGGCCCACCAGCAACGCCCTCTCCTGCCCCTTCGATGACTTCGTCTCGGCATCAAGATCTGTCACAGCCCTCAGGACAGACGACTGGAGGCCCTCCAGGCGGGTGAAACCGGTGCCCTGGTCCGGGCAATTGGGGTCGATGAATATGTTGACACGAGAGCCATCAGCTTTCTCGATGGTGACCAAGGCGTTGGCTTCATCGGGATTGGTGCTGATGATGGGTGGGGATTCCGTGACGGGTGTGTGGTAGTGGTTCATGAAGAGGATGGCACCAGTGACAGTGACGGCAAGGAGAACTGCCACAGACAGGAGGACGGTGCAGAGGATATAACCGCAGCTCATTCTCTAGAAAATGGAAGCAGAGAGAAGGTTATGGCCACTTGGTGGGCCAACATAGCAATGGCAAGGGATGGGTAGGGATCGGGAAGTGAGGGGAGAGAAAGTCAGGTCATGTCAGGGACCAGAAGCTGGGTTCCTCTTCATTTTATTTATTTTTTCAACAATCTGTTGTTTTTTTAATTATATGGCTACTAGCCACTGTGACTATGCTTGTCCTCCATGATAGGAGGCGGTTATGCTTCTGAATAATAGTTGCTGGAAACCGCAGGAGAGGAGAGGGCTCTTGTGGTCAGGTCCTACCGTTGGGCTCCTCATTCAAGCAACTGGTCAGCCACTGTTAGAAGAGGATGCTGTACTAGGTGGGCCATTGGTCTGATCCAGTGGGACTTTCTAATATTCTTACTCATCCTTCATATCTTGTTCACTCTCTCGCCATCCACTTACAAGATGCAGGGACAGCCACCAACTTCAATAGCTTTTGAAATAGGCTAGACAAATTTATGGAGGTTATCAACAGCTACCATTCATGATGGCTATGTTATCTCTCCTCTGTCAGAGGCAGTATGCTGGGAATCACAAGTGCAGAGAGTTGCTGTTGCACTTAGGACTTGCTTATGGGCTTCCCCCCACAGTTGGCCTCTGTGAGAAGAGGATGCTGGGCTAGATGACCCATTGGCCTGATCCAGCAGGCTCTTCTAGTGTTCTTATATACCATTTGAAACGGTTCTTTTTAATCTCAAATGGGTTCACAAGAAAGAATAAAACAATGCAATTTTGAGTTTGAAATAGTTAAAAACAACTGTTTAAAGCATTAAGAAAAATAATTAAGATGGTAAGCTGACAACCACATTGAAACACATGTCAATGTTCTCTGTGCCTAAGCAGAAATGTTTTTAGGAGGCACAGTGAAGATACCTGCCAAATGTCAATTGGCAGGGAATTCCAAGGTGTCGGTGCTTCATCAGGTGATGGAGGCAAGGACTGTGAACCTGAAGGAAAAGGTGATGCAAGGCCAACCCCAGAGGCATTGCTACCAGATGAATCTGTGGGGCCAATACCCCCCCCCGGCCAGAGGATCTGCCTTCCTCTGACGACCCCACTGTGCAAAAACCTGGGAGATCTGAGCCTCCCTCAGATGACATCAGAGTCTCATCTCCCTCCCATTTAGGGTATGCTGCCAGAGGTGTGGTAGTCTGTGGACACAGCAGGTCAAAGGCCCATTACTTTTTCTGCAGATGGGTCCCAGCAGGGTCCGTTGTCTCCAGCATCCTAGAACTGCCCCATCAGCATGAAAGGAAAGCTCCTTAGCCACTATGAAAAAGCCTCCTCTGGTTGGAGCCCAACCAGAGTGAAAGAAGGTGAGGCAGCCACTGAGGATGTTCTCCTAGGGACCCTCTGGAGAAGATACACTGGAAGGACACAAAGGAGTTGTTGTTCTGTCTGCTCCAAAGCTAAGCCTTTAGGAACACTGACAGCCAGAGGCATAGCGGGGGGTGGGTGGGCACGGGAGTGGGGCACATCATTGGGGTGGCACTTACCATAGGCTGGGGCCTGTAGCAGGCCCAAGCCACACATCTCTCTTGGGAGTGACACAGTGGCTCAGGTGCCTACAGGCTCTGCATTGCCCGAAACAGCAGCATGGCGCTTGCGTCTGCCCATCGCCTACCCCTCAGCCGCCCTACAGCTGAGGCAGAGGCCGTGGGTGGACTCTTTGGAGGCTCTGGATAGCGTGCCCTGCCCCGGCTCACCCCACCACTGGGCGCAGGCTGCAAACCGCCCTGGGTGCCTGAGCAGCTTGCTACACCACTGCTGACAGCACAGGGGGCTTCCATTTCAATAGAATGGGGTACAAGTTTTGTTATATATGCTCAAGGAGAATACAACCTAAGTCACTCCAAAAAAGGATGCTGGAGCATTCCAAATCATTTGACCATGTATGTGAACAGACAATAGTATATCTAGCTGAAGGGCAACACAGATAGATTGGCATTGAGTGTTGCAGTACACCCTTAATTAGAATTATTGCATGATTATAAGTTTATTGTCTAATGGCTGTGACTGTCATGAAAGGACCCTGTGCCTCTGAACTGGTCACTACACCACCCGTTAGCTGCAATGCTCCACGACCCCCAAGCCCACTGATATCCCCCAGGATATCTCAACCCACTGGGATTTCAGAAAGTTTCTTCTTTGTATAAGCAATCCTTACTCCGTTGCCCAAGGGTCGTGTTGAAGGGCACTTTCAAAATAAGAATATAAGCACTTGCTGAGTGCCTTTCAAGGGTACAAAAAGTACTCGAGATATATAGCCTCAATAAACCTTCGTAACAGCCGATATGTCCCCGTACTGTAGTTGCCAATATGTGTGTGTGTGTGTGTGTGTGCGCGCGCGCGCGCGCTGAAGCCGGAGGAAAATAATAGCTTGTCTAAAGTAGGGTTGTCACCTTTGGTTGGGCAAAAGGACAGGTCGGGGGTGGTGGGAACGGCGGGGGGAGAGACGCAAAAAATTACTTTACCTGGTGCAGAAATAACTTCAAAGCAATCCAATACAATCCGCCGCCCCCCTACTCTCCACCAGAGCCTTGCAAAAACCCTCTCATGCTCTCTGACCCACCCTATTCACTCTGTCTGCAAAAAACTCCTGCACTGCAGCTGGTCCCTCTAAATCCACTCTCCGACCCACCCACAGCCACCCCTGCTAGCACAAAACCTGAGACTCCACCATAGAAGGCCTGTGCACTGCAACTCCTCCCCCCCCTCTCTGCAACCCACCCTCTGCCCATGCAAAAACTCTCTTTCAAATTCCTCATCTCAGCTCTATCCCACCCTCTGCCCATGTCCCTCAGGCTCTCACTCTCGGCTGTCCTCCTCACGGACCCACCCTTTCCTGCACAAACTCTTTGCTCGGGCTCTCGTTCTCCTCCTCCCACTGGACCAACCCTCTACCACGCAGTTGGAGGAGGAGGAGTCCAGACTGCTTGAAGTCCAAACAGGACAGGGGCCACTTTTCTCCAAAAAAAGAAAAAAAGAATGATCATGCTTTTCTAGGGACAGGTGGCATTGCAACCCTAGAGTCATTTAGAGAGCTTGCGGCCAACAGCAGATTTCAAACAAGGGCCTTCTGGCTTGTGTTTGTAGCTGTTGTGATTGACCACCTCAGTTTGCATTGGAAAGAATATTTTGAACCAAGTACAGAAGTGGGAGGTAGGTTAGGCTGAGAGACAGGGACTGTGACAAGGTTGCCCAGTGAGCTTCATGACTGATTTAAACCACTGTCTGACATTCACAGACCAACATTCTAACCACTATACCACACTGCTCCAGTATAATTAAGGTTATTAATTATTTAATATACTTATTCCATAAATTTCTACACCACTTGATTGTGTTTTCTTTTGTTGTTTAAAAACACACGCACACTCAAATCAGTTATTCTTAGCATTAATGTGGTGCTCTATCCAATGTTTCTCCTACTCAGCGTAGTAATGGGCATGACTATCGTAAATCCATTAATGTCAATAGGTCTACTCTGATGAGAACTTAGTTGGATGCATCTGTATATTATTATTATTATTATTATTATTATTATTATTATTATTATTATTCCTGTTATTCACCTCCCCTATCCTAAGATACCTGGCTGATCATACAGAGTGGGGGTCGTTCTCTGAAGGTGAACAGATAAATGTTCACTCCTCAGAGACATCTTTCTACCAGGCAGTTAGTTAGACAGAAGGGCACAGTTGATATACGGCTCGCTTGGGTGCCTGCTCTATGAAATAATAACGACGGAGGGGTCACGGAACAGATGCGCTTCTGCGGTTGGATTCGTTTTTATTTAGTGCGACAATAAGCAGTCCCCGCTTCCAGCAGGGCCAAATGGCGAGACCTGGTTCCGGTCAGGAATTCCTTCCACTGTGACTCTGGAGTCACCCCAGCGCCTCGCCTACCGAAGAGGTTGACGGACCTCATGACTCTTTAATGAGTCTGGCGGTTTGCAGTGAGAAAACATCTCATTGCTGCATGAATCATGAATCTCTTTCGTTAATAAAAAAGCAAGGAGATGGGACAGGGAGAGAGGGGAGGTGAAGGCAGGGGCAGTGTTTTTAGAGCAGGGAGTCTTATTTGGAAATGGCCCAGGGCACCAATTCCTTTCCAGAGCCACACTCTCCGAGGTGTGCGGTTGATTCTGCAAAGTTTGCAGCAAAAGGATTCTGGTTGGGGATAGCTCTGACCTTTGGGACCTTGTAATGTCTCGTCGCTAATAATAACACCCCCCCCCCCAAAAAAAACCCCAGCCTGCCTGGAGCATTTTTGCACTTCTCCCCCTAAAGTTTCCATTTTCTTTTAATAATAAATGCTACAAATGAACAGACAGATCATGGTGAAAACTCACGCAGAATCCAAAAGATCAGAGTGGTTTCTGATGCCAGTCCCCCTCAAGAGTAGACCTGCTGAAATTTATGGATCTAAATTAGCCATTTCTGATAACTTCAGTGGGTCTACTCTGAGCAGGACTAGCATTGGATGCAACCCATTATTTCCAGTGCAGCTTCGCATGTGCTCGTTCACAAGTCTATCATGTTTCTACAAAGATTTTTGTGGAAGATGGAGTTCGTGCAGAATGCTGCAGCATGACTGCTGACAGGAGTGAAGCTGTGTGAGCATAAAACACTTGTGCTCAGAGATCTACACTGGTTGCCTATCTGCTACTAGGCCAAGTTCAATGTGTTTGCCTGTGAGATCTCGCCTTACCCCATATCCGCATAATAATAATAATAATAATAATAATAATAATAATTTATTTACACCCTGCCCATCTGGCTGGGTTTTCCCAGTCACTCTGGACGGCTTCCAACCAAATATTAAAAACAATACAGCATCAAACATTAAAAACTTCCCTAAATAGGGCCGCCTTCAGTTGTCTATTAAAAGTAAAATAGTTGCTTATTGCCTTGACATCTGCTGGGAGGGCATTCCACAGGACAGGTGCCACTACCGAGAAGGCCCTCTGCCTGGTTCCCTGTAACCTCACTTCTCGCAGCGAGGGAAGAGCCAGAAGGCCCTCGGAGCTGGATCTCAGTGTCCGGGCTGGACGATAGGGGTGGAGACGCTCCTTCACGTATACAGGACCAAGGCCATTTAGGACTTTAAAGGTCAGCACCAACACTTTGAATTGTGCTCGGAAACGTACTGGGAGCCAATGAAGATCTTGTTGTTTTAGTGTTTCTAATATTAACTTGTAAGATATGGATTTGTTTGTTTTTTTGTTTTGTTTTGTCTTTTTTAGTTTTCGAATGTTGTTTTTTGTGTGTTGTGTATTGTTATCTTTTTATATCTTTCTTGTTGTTATGTGGAAAATACTAATAAAATTCAAAAAAAAAAAAAAAAGGTCTTTCAAGACTGGTGTTATATGGTCTCGGCAGCCGCTCCCAGCCACCAGTCTAGCTGCTGCATTCTGGATTAATTGCAGTTTCCGAGTCACCTTCAAAGGTAGCCCCACGTAGAGTGCATTGCAGTAGTCCAAGCGGGAGATAACTAGATAGAGCATGCACCACTCTGGCAAAACAGTCTGTGGGCAGGTAGGGTCTCAGCCTGCGTACCAGGTGGAGCTGGTAAACAGCTGCCCTGGACACAGAATTAACCTGTGCCTCCATGGACAGCTGGAGTCCAAAATGACTCCCAGGCTGCGCGCCTGGTCAGGGGCACAGTTACCCCATTCAGGACCAGGGAGTCCTCCACACCTGCCCGCCTCCTGTCCCCCAAAAACAGTACTTCTGTCTTGTCAGGATTCAACCTCAATCTGTTAGCCACCATCCATCTCCAACTGCCTCCAGACACTCACACAGGACCTTCATGGCCTTCACTGGTTTTGATTTAAAACTGCATATTGATGAACACACAACCCAAACCCCCTGATTATCTCTCCCAGCGGCTTCATGTAGATGTTAAAAAGCATGGGGGAGAGGATGGAACCCTGAGGCACCCCACAAGTGAGAGCCCAGGGGTCTGAACACTCATCCGCCACCACTACTTTCTGGACACGGCCCAGGAGAAAGTAGCAGAACCACTGTATAACCGTGCCCCCAGCTCCCAACCCCTCAAGACGGTCCAGAAGGATGTTATGGTCAATGGTATCAAAAGCCACTGAGAGATGCAGCAGAACTAGGAAACAGCTCTCACCTTTGTCCCTAGCCTGCCGGAGATCATCAACCAGTACGACCAAGGCAGTTTCAGTCCCATGATGAGGCCTGAATCCCGACTGGAAGGGATCCAAATGGTCCACATCCTCCAGGCATGCTTGGAGTTGTTCAGCAACCACCCGCTCAATCACCTTGCCCAAGAATGGAAGATTTGAGACTGGGTGATAGTTGGCCATATCGGCCAGGTCTAAAGATGTTTTTTTAAAAAGAGGTTTAATGACCGCCTCTTTCAGTGGGCCTGGGAAGGCTCCCTCACAGAGGGAAGCATTCGCCACCCCACAGAGCCCATCACCCAGCCCCTCCCGGCTCGCTTTTATCAGCCAGAATGGACAAGGATCAAGAAGACAGGTGGTTGGTTTCACTTGTCCAAGCAGCCTGTCCACATCCTCGGGGGTAACAGGTTGAAACTGATCCCATATAACAGGACTAGACAGGACTCCGGCACTCTCCCGCCCCGGCCCTGCTCCCACGGTGGAGTCTACCTCCTTCCTAATCTGAGCGACTTTATCTGCCAAAAAAAAAAAAAAAAATTGCAAAAACATTGCAGGCGATCTTGGGGTCCCTACCAGGCCCCGATGACTGCTTTGTTTTGTAGACCTGGCAATGTTACAGGTGCCACATAATACCAGTTCTGCATTTGTAAGAAATTGATCCTTCAATTTGACAGCACCTACACTTTGGAACTCCCTGCCTACTGACTTCAGGCAGATGCCTTCATTGTACTTTTTTTAGCACCTGCTAAAAAAGTTATTGCTTAGACATGCCTAACCAGACATGTAGAATGCTGGTCTATATTTTTATTTGTTTTTAGTTTATTTCTGATTTTGTTTCTTGGGATGTTTTAAATAGTTGTTTTTTTACCAATAATTTTATTGTTTTATTCTCTTTGAAAACCTGTGTGTGTGTGTGTGTGTGTGTGTGTGTGTAAAAACCCAAGCAATGTATAAATTTATAGAATGGATAAATAAGTTAAACCAGTTTACAGTACTTGTGAGATTCTCTTAACCCATATATACCCATTCCACGAGAGCTACTAACCATGATTTATCAAGGAGGTATCAAAGGCTACTCGCCATGATGGTTGTGTTCTGCCTGCACAGTTGGAGGCAGCAGTGCTTCTGAATGCCAGTGCTTCTGAATGAGAGGGCTCATGCACTCAAATCCTGCTTGCAGGTTTCCCACAGGCATTAGCCAGCAGGAGAACAGGATTCTGGACCAGATGGGCCCCCTTTGGCCTAATCCAGCAGGCTTTCTTCCATTCTTATGTTCTTATGACCGCTGTGATCTGCAGAACTGGGTCATGATATAACCCAGATTGAGTACCTCTGAAGGAGCCGGACCAGAGGTTTGTATCTGCAATGAGCTGATGCTTGAACACCAGTGTGCAATTTTGTAGTGGTTACTTTGGATGCCGGAGAAACAGAAA